CAGTGCTATTCTCAGAGTCTCAGTGATGCTCATGCTTATTCCAGCTCGTTATAATGCTCTGAATCTTTCCAAAAAATAAAAGTACAGTTTTCATGGCTGTGCAGGGTTTCCCACTGAATCCAAGGGCCTTGTCCAGAGTGGAGCTAACTGCCATTCCAAAGATCACAGTGGTGCTCAGCATCTAAAGTGTTATATATGTCAGGGTCTTCCCAAGAAAATAGTGAGTCCAAGGCCCTACCCTAGTATTTCAGTGAATTTAATAACTTTATACAATATCTAGTGAGTTTAGATTATTTCCCATTATTCTGGGAAAATAATGGACTTTCCTGTGGTTTCACTAGGAAAGGGAGCCTTTTGCAGTGTGTCATTGTAACAGAGAGATATTCCCATTGTCATAGTGGTGCTTAGGACCTTCTCCACTGTTTCAGTAGCAGCCAAGGCTACCCCATGTTTATTAGTTTAAACTCGGGGCCTTCTCCAGGATTTATGTCTGTATTATTGGATTTTCCAGTGACTTACAGGGACTCAGGGAATTCTCTAGGGTCTTTTGTGAGAACTTAGGTATGATTAATTTTTAGATTTTTTGCTTCATATCTTCTGAGAGGCTGAAGATCTTCAATTAATAGATTCACAGTAGGGTTCATGGCTCCTTCAACATTAAAATGGGGTTGTGGACCTTTCCTAGTGTCTCCTTGTGTCCCAGTGTTTTTTCAGTTCTCTGATGAAGCTTATGGCTTTCCCATGTTCTTAGTGGGGCTCAGAGCCTTCCACAATATATCTGTAGTTGTCAGGAATATCTCTAGGATTTCAGCATGACTCACAACTTTCCATAGAATTTCAGGGTGTTCCATGAGTTTGTGTGATTCAAAGGCCTTAAAAAAGTCTCTTGACATTCAGAGTTTTTGTCAGTGTCTCAGTAAATCTCAGCACTTTCCCCAGGTTCTCAGTGGAGTTCATTGCCATTCTCCTGGTCACCGTGTTGCTCAGGTCCTGCCCAGAGTCTTTGTCCCAGGGCATTTTCCCAGTATTACAGTGATCTCCAGGAACTTTTGCAGAGTATTTGTGGTCTCACTGCCTTCCTAGGCACTCAGGGCCTACCCTGGAGTCTTCCCAGGAAACACTGATGATCACAGTCTAAGTGACAGGCAGGGTATCAAAGGGACTCATCACCTTTCCCAGGGTCAGTGGGCCTCAAGGCCTACCCTAGATTCTTATGAGGACTCAAGGCCTTCCCAAGAATTTCAATATTGTTTAGAAAGGTCTACATGTTATTCATGGTGTATGTAGTATTGCCAAGTGTTTAGAAGAGGCTCAAAGATTCAAAATTTGTTAAATTTGTTAATTTTCAATGGTGAGCTAAATGATCTTCAGAATTTTTGGAAAGCCAAGGCCCTTCCTTAGTTTTACAGGTGTGTGCAAAATCTTCCCAAGAGTGTTAGTGGTCTTATTTCTGTTCCAGATGTTCAGTGCAGATTGGCATCACTCACAATTTCACCATGTGCTCAGGGCCTTCCCAAAGTTCTCAATAGGTCTTATTGCCCTTTTTAGTGGAACACTGTGTTTCAGAACTAAGCTCAGTATCCAGTTATTTCAGATAATATTATTAAAATAATATTCTTTATTTTCAGAATATCTCTGAGGCTCAGTGATATTCTCAGTGTCTTCACGATGCTCAGTGCTTCTTCTAGCCTTGGAATGAGGCTCTGAATGTTCCCAAGCAAAACACAGTTTTCAGGGCCAAGCAGCGTTTCTCAATGCATCTCAGGACCTTGACCAGGGTCTCTGTGAAGATAAGTGCCATTCCCAGCATCACAGTTGTGCTTTGGATCTGCCACCATGTTCAATTTTTTGTAAGGCCTTTCCAAGTTCAGTAGTGTGGCGTACAGCCTACAGTACTCTTTCATTGGATTTAAGTACTCTGTGCAATATCTATTGGTGCTCAGATTCTTCCACCATATTTTGGGGAAATAATGGCCTTCCCTAATGTCTTATTGGGGAATAGAGCTTGCCAGTGTGTCATTATAACAGAGAGATATTCCCATTGTCATTGCCACTCCCAATGCTCAGGGACTTCCTCACCGTGCCACTGGCACTCAGGGCTACTCCATGTTTCTTTGGTAAGCTCAGGGCTTTCTGCAGGGTCTCAGTCTGGCTCAGTGCTTTCCCCAATGACTTAACACAGGCTCAGGGATGCTCTTTGTCTTTTCTGAGATCTCAGGAATAATTGGATCTCAGGCTAAACCTCTTCAATAAATAGCATTACAATAGTATTGAGGGCCTCCACCAGGGTCATTGGCATTGGGGTCTTGCTCATGGTCTCCTTGTTTGTCAGTGCTTTTCCAGCTCAACAATCAAGCTGATAGCCTTCTCATGTTCTTTATTGGGTCTCAATGACTTCCACAGGGTATCTGTAGTACTTAGGATGATCTCTAGGATTTCTTTGTCACTAAGGGCTTTTCATAGCATTTCAAGGTTGTTCCAGTGTTTTTCATGAGTTTGTATGATTCAAAGGCCTTCACAAGTGTCTCTTGATATTCAGGCTCTTTACTGGTTTCTAACTGGTGTTCAGGCCTTTTCCAAGTGTTATCACTGGAATTCAGGGGTTTTTACCCAGTTTATTTTGTGTTCCAGTGCTTTCCAAGTCAATAGTGTGTTTCATGGATTTTCTATATTTTCTTTGTGGGCCTCAGTACTTTGTCCAAGATATCAGTAAGTCTCAGGTTCTTCCCCAAGATTTCACTGTGGCTCAGGGTTGTCCACCATATTTCAGATGTGTTCAGGTCATTTCTATGGGTTTGTATCATCAGAAGGTCTCCAAAATTGTCTCTTGGGCTTCAGGACTTCCAAGGTTTCTAAGTTGTTTTCTGTTCTGTTTTTTTTTTTTTTTTTCAGTGTACCATTGGGTTTCAGGGATTTTCCAGGTCACTAATGAGGTTCAGGCTCCCTTGTACTGATTTCATGGATTGTGAGGTCTTTCCATGGGTCTCAATAAGTTTCATGGTCTCCTCTAGTCTCACAACACATGATATGAGTGTTTCCCATGAGTTTAGGCTTATCCTTTCTTTCCCTGGGCATTCATTGGAATTCTTGGACATTCCTAGCATCTCAGTGTGGTTTAGAATATTCCCCAGGGTTTCAAGAAGTTATTGGTTTTTCCCAGGGCCTCAGTGGGACTCATGGCCTGTGGGAAGTCACTCCGAATGAACACACCTTCCAGTCCTGAGGCAGGGGGCTCTGACCAGTTACTACATTTCATAGGACTTGGGTTTTGTCCCAGCTCAGATAGCAAGGCATAGATCCAGGTGTAGGCATGCCCATTAGGGTTGAGGTACACTCACCTGCTCCCTTGTAGACCTACCCCTTCTGCCTGTTTTTGGATAGAAATTTCTAAGAATAGCATTCCCCCAAATAAAAGTTCACTTTTAAACCTGAAAGAATGAACAAGGCTCATAGTTGGAGAAAATGCCCATTTATTGAGAAACAGCTCTGCATATTTATAGAGCCAGGGGTGGTTTGATAGTTATGACAGTTTAAAGGTTGAAGGGTTTGACAGTTGGCATGGGGTGCTTTCTGATTGTTGGGTAAGGATCATGTGAGTCAGCAGGGATAGTCTGATTGGTGGGTAAGGATCATGTGAGCCATCAGGGCTAGTCTGAGTGGTGGGTAAGGATCATGTGAGCCAGCAGGGCTCACCATTGGATGGCTCTTCTCAGGGGATGGGGAAGTTAGTCTTTGGAGCTGGGGCTACTCCCAACATTCCTCCCTCTTTGTTATTAAATGAGAGTGTGTGTTGGCTCATTCTGGCTGCTTCCTGCTGAGATGGGGCAGCATGGGAGAATTGGACGGAAGTAGGGAGTCCCCGCAGGAGGGCAGAGATGACTGGTATAACTTCAGGAACCAGATCAATGAAGGTTCCTTGCCACCCCAGATCCATGATGATGTCAGTCCATTTGGCATAGGTCTCAAATGGAGGTATCATCAGTAGCCATGAGTTGGTAATTCCTGAGGAGAAGCTGGTTAAAAGCTTGATTAGAATTTTTTTACCCACCTGAGTCTGAATGAGCTTTATGATAAAGGGAAGGAACATGCACAGGGAGTTTATATAGCCCAAATCTAATGGGGTCTCTTGGTCTGCAAGCTGCCTTGTTGGCACAAGGGGGGTTAAGTGTTTGCCTTGAGTGGGGGCTTGGGCATTTGAGCTTGAAGCAAACAGGTGATAAAGAACCAGACAGAGGGTTTGAGAAGCCAGGTCATCCTGCAGCTAACTTTGTTTGGCATGCCCTGCAGACAACTTATTCAGCCTGTCATGCACATCACACCCTCAATTCCACTCTTCATTCCTAGTCCAATCTAGTTCCCTCCCCTCTCTATTAAGGCTGCTCTTATTGATCATCGAACTCTCTCCTACCTGGGTGTCTCTGAAACCAGCTTGCTTCTCTCTTTACCTTTCCCAAAATATCACTGTTCCCAGCTTTCCCTAGTCTTGTCTCCCTTCACAGCAAGAATGCACAGGTTTTGTAATAAAGAAGACAGCTTCTCCCATGCTCTGAACGAAGGCAGCCAAGGGAGGAAGGTGGCCCATTGTTACCAGATTTCCCTTTGAGAGAAGTCAGATCTCTCCAGGTTTTATGTGAAACACCTCAGCCTTAAATACTGATACTTGAAATTCTTACAAAACTGCAAGGGTAAACAAAACACACATGTTCCTCCTTAGGCCCAGAAGGCAACTGGTAAAGTGCTCTCTTATGATAAAGGTAGTTCACACTTATTCAGGGGTCACCATGCTCCAGACACCTAAGTGGTTTGTCAGAAGGACAGCACACAACGGTCGCACTACCAGCCAGATCCAAGCAAGTAGGGGGTCTGTAAGGAGGAGAAGAGGGTCTGGCTGGAGGGGGCCCTTAGGGTCACTTGCTTTGAATCTCCAGACATAGAGCAAAGAGAGGACCTAAAAGGGGCCAGAAATGAGGGGGAGCATTGACAAGACTACTTAATTACAGGTGACGATCCTTGGCTCATCTGATGAAGGTGTAGGAGCGCCGGGCTTAAGCCTGAAAATGTGAATCCATGGGGTAAGTTGGTTTTAGACAGCTTGAGTTTGGCTGCCAAGGGAGTGCACATAATCACCTGAGCAGGACCCTCCCATTTGGTTTTAGAGGGGGCTTTTCCCTGGTGGGCAATAGTAAACAAGTTGACCAGGTGTTAAATAGGTAGGGTTTTGAAAGAGACTAGGGTCAGGAAGGAGCCAGTCTTGATAGCGCCAGAGTTCAGAATGATGATGTAAGAGGAGGGGCAAGGCATAGGTTTCAGAGATGGGTAAGGGTTAGGGGAGAAATGAGGGGACAGCCATACATGACTTCAAAAGGTGAGAGATTAGAAGGCTTCTTTGGCAAGGCTCTAATGTGCTTTAAAGCCAAAGGGAGCACTTTTACCCAGTCCAGGCTTAATTCCATGGTGAGTTGGTGAGGGTCTCTTTAAGGGACCAATTGGTCCTTTCAACCTTTCCGGAAGCCTGTGGATGGTAAGAGCAATGGAAATGCCAAGGGAGTGATAGCGTGTGAGCCAGTCCCTGAGTTATCTGTGAGGTGAATTCTGGCCACTGTCTGATTGGATAGAAGTAGGCATCCTGAAATAGGGGATTATGTGAGTAGAGGCCCACTTGTTAGAAGTGGGAAAGGCTTCAACCCATCCCAAAAAAGTATCTACCAATACAAGAAGATATTTTATGTTTTTTACTTGGGGCATTTTGGTGAAATCAATCTGCCAGTCTGCAGCCGGGGTATGACTGTGGGCCTGATGAGAAGGGAAAGGTTTAGGTTTTAATGGAGTATTGGTATTGGTTAGTGAGACTCTGTGGACTAGAATGGAATAGAGAGTGAGAAACTGGAAGAGTTGTTGGGGATCTTTGGGACGTTCCCCGGTGGTAACGAAGAGTATTGGAGAGGAGGTAAAGCTCTATAGGGCGGCTGATGGAGCCGCTTGATCAGCCTTGGAATTCCCCATAGTAAGGGAGGAGTCAGTTTGATAGGCCTTTCATTCCCAGTTGGGAAGGCAGCCTGGAGGCTTGTAGGGAGAGGGTTTTTGCATGCTCTTGTGGCAGCTATGAGTTCAGCTTGTTGGTTGGTGGTATTGGGTGGGAGAGGTTTTGCTTCTATGATGGATGAGAGGGAAATGACAGCATGCCCCACCACTTTAACCCCTTTGTATATAAAGGAGCTACCATCTGAGAACCAGACAAGGTCCAAAGAGGGCAGGGGTCCCTCAGAAATGGTAGTAGGGCAGGGTAAAATCATCTCTAATACCTCCAGGAATTTTTGGATGGGATTAATGGAGAGCAAGACTGAAAAGAGATGGAGGGTTTTTCAAGGAATGAGATAAGGAGGGATAGAACCCTGGAAGGAGGAAGTGACTGTAGCCCCTTGTAAGTGAGGAAATCCTTTATTGGTAAGGAGATGGATGGTTAGCAGGGAGCTAAAGGTAAGCTTGTGTGCTTCTTTCTGGAGGTCATGGGCTGCTGCTAGGTCTCTGAGGCATGGGGGCCAGCTCCTGACAGTGGGGTCAAGCTGTTTGGATAGGTAGGCCACTGGTGTAAATGTGGGGCCATATTCTTGACCCAGAACACCCAGACTTTGTCCGTGTTTTTCATGTACATAGAGGGTGAAGGGTCAGGAGAGGTCGGGGAGGAGGGCCTTTTTAAGGAATGTAAAGGGCTTCCCTGCCGCTGAGGGTAGGGGTTCATCTTGGAGGCCCTTGGCCAGATTATATAGCAGCCTGGAAAGGAGGGAGAAATTCAAAAGTAATCCAGGCCCTGAAGTACCCAGCCAAACTCAAGAAGGAGAGTATGTCATCTTTGGTCTTTGATAAGCTGTTTTCTGTCTACTGTAATGGCCTTTTCCCCTTGAGAGATATCCCTTTAAGGCCAAGAAAGTAGGAGAACTGTGTCATCTGTTGAGTGCTCTTTGGACGAGCTAGAAGAATTTGTAGAGGTTTGCAAGAGGTGCAGAGAGCAGGATCGGATTGGAGCAAGAAGAAAGCCTGGAAGAGACCCCTTAGAATGGAGGGATCCAGGGACCCCAAAAGGGGCCATCTGCTTTGGTTGTCTAAGGGATAAGTGGGCCAGGCCCGGGTGCTATATTTGATCCAAGAGGCATTGTAGGGGAGAGTTGACCACCAGAGAGTACACATTACCCATGTAAGGAGGAGGGAAGAGGACACTGAGAAGGAGGAAATTGATTTATTGGCCAAAGAGGCATCCCTGCTAGAGCCAAAAAATCAGGAGTGCCTAAGTGGCAGGTTTGAGCTGCAGAGATTGGTTGTCACCGAATCCTGACAGTCGAAGCTCTCATCCTGGATGGAGACAGAGCCATGGGAGATCTTGGCCAAGGCTTTTCGGGACCCCTCCTAGAAAGGCCAGATACTCCCAAGGCCAGAAAGAGGGGAGAGGCAGGGCAAGAGAGAGGAAGGGGAGGGTAAGCATCTCTCTAGCGGCCGAGTCTTAAAGGTGAGAAGACTAGGACTTTAGGAATCTGCCCAAGGAAGGAGTCCCTGAGGGCCACCGTAGCCTTAAAGGCTGTGGTGGGGTGCTTTCCTCCCTGCAGGTGGGCAAAGAGATTTGCCAGACAATAATCAACATATTGCAAGAGGGTGGATTTGGGGCACTGGGGGTGAAAAGATTGGAGGTTGGAGGCCAAGGTTTGTCCAAAGAGGTGTGGACTATCTTGAAATCCCTGAGGAAGGACAGTCCTGGTTAGTTATCGAGAATGTCTGGTGGTGAGATCTGTCCAGGTAAAGGCAAAAAGATCTTGTGATTCGGAGGCAAAAGGAATGGAGAAGAAAGCATAAATCTATGACTGAGAAGTGGGTGGCAGTGTGGGGGATCTGAGACAGCAGGGTGTATGGGTTGGGAACCAAAGGATGTATGGGCCTAACAGAGGTGTTGATGAGTCGTACGTCCTGAACTAAGCGATAGGACCTGTTGGGCTTTTTTACTGCTAGTATGGGACTATTGTAAGGGGAATGAGCAGAACAGAGGTACCCCTTGCTAAGAATGTCCTGAATAATAGGTTGTAGGCCCAGAAGAGCTTTTGTGAACAGGGGTATTGAGCCTGATTGGGGAAGGTGTTGGGATCTTTGAGATGAATGTTAACTGGTGGGCAGGAAATGGTGGAGGGGGTGTGGGTATCCCATACAATTGGGTCAACCAAGTTAGTATGGTATTTCATGTCAGCCTCCCAAGTGGAGCAGAATGGCCAGTCTTCTGCCAAAAGGGCAAGAAAAGACAAACAGGCCGATTCTGGGGCCTGATTTGATGCCAGGAGCCCAGATGTTGATTGTTGTACTGAATTTAAAGAGAATGTCTCAGCTGAGCAAAGGAACTGGACATTGGGGCATAACTAGGAATGTCTGAGAGAATGGGAAGTTGTCTATGGAACAGAGTAATAGGGAAGTCTTTTTTGGATAGATGGTCTTTCCTCCTACCCCGACAATAGGAGAGGTGGATGGCACTGTTTGCCCCCAGAATTCTGTCAGGACTGAGAAGGTAGCCCTGGTGTCAAGGAGAAAGTCGACCTTGCACCTATTCACCTGAATCTGCACCCTGGGTTCCTGTCTCCTTACGGCCGGGGACAAGGACCCAAGGCTCCTTCAATTAATTGCCATGCCCAGAAGGTTGGAGGGTTCCCTGGCCATAGGCCTCTTGTGGGATCTAGGACAGTCAGAGCTCCAATGACCTTGTTGTTGACATTTAGGGCAGGGGTATGTAGAGTGCATGGTGCAGGGCATGCCCTGGCCCAATGTCCCTCCTTGCCACACTTGAAGCAGTCACCCCGGGGGGTGTTGACCTGTGGTGATGGGTGAAAAACTTAAAGGCTACCACCAAGATCTCAGTCTGGGGGTGGCAGGGCCTTGTTCGAGCTTTTTTAGTTTGGCCCAGATGTCGGGGTAGCTCTGCAAGAGGAAATATGTCATAAGGACATGACAGCCATCTGGGGTTTCGGGATCTAGGTTACAGCTGAAGGGCTTTTGTAAACTGATCCAGAAATTCCGATGGGGTCTCTTTTAATTTTTGGAAATTGATGGCCTTACGTGCCGCTTTTTCAAACCCAGCAATAATACATGCGGAGAATCAGTCCCTACTCTGTATGCCAGCTTCTGTATAATCCCAGTTAGGAGTTTCTGGGGCAGCAAGTGGCCCCGGAGGGTGATTGGGATTAACTCAGTGAGTTTCATCCACATAGGCTCTGGCAAGTTCCCAGACTCTGGTGAGTAAGGCTATAAGCCTGGAGGACCCATTGAAACTCTCGGGACCTAGTTTGGGGGGAACTAAAGGTGTCAGCCGAGTCAGGGGGCGCACCTGAGGGGCTGGATGGAGCCGATGGGGGAGGTTGGTAGGAAGGGGGTTCATCTGCTGGATACATCAGGGTACAATGAAGAGGAGAAAAAGCCTCAACCTAGGGGATCTCCTTCCACTTTTTCGAGCATTCACAGAAGTTAAACAGATCTCTGAGAATTGCGGGAGCTAGGGATCCTCCTGGGGGCTATTGACTTTGATTGTCTAATTGATAGTAAGGCCAATCTTGGGTCCAGAATTTAATAAGGGGGAGTCTGCAGGTAGTTAAGAAGAGGCTCCCATACAAGGGTGGTTATTGAGAGAGAGTGGGGGGGGGAGAGAGGGGAGTGCCTGTTCTTCCACCCCTCAGTACCTCCCGCTCATGAACCGGGCTCCAGAGAGTCCACCGTGACCATGAAGGTCATGGTGGGGTACGCTCTCTCCTCCAGATTGGGTGTCAGAGGTTTGCTGGATGATCACGGTCAAAGCCCCTGCGTAGCCCGTCTGAAGTTGGATACCCAATAGGGGAACTCACCTACTGAAGAGCTGGTGTTGTGTGAGTAGCAGCAGAGCTCGAAAGAGTGGGTGAGTATGGCAAGACTTGAGAGAGGGGGCCCTGGAACAGTAAGGCTTTCCCCCTCCTGGGTTTTGGCACCAGTGAAAGAACGAACAAGGCTCATCGTTGGAGAAAATGCCCATTTATTGAGGAACAGCTCTGCATCTTTATAGAGCCAGGAGTAGTTTGACAGTTATGACAGTTTAAAGGTTGAAGGGTTTGACAGTTGGCATGGGGTGCTTTCTGATTGGTGGGTAAGGATCATGTGAGCCAGCAGGGCTCACCATTGGATGGTACTTCCCGTGGGATGGGGAAATTAGTCTTTGGAGCTCGGGTGACTCCCAACAGAACCTGCTTTCCTCTCTCTTGTCAACCTCTTGTGATTTTTCTCTTGTTATCCCTTCTGGGGAGCTCGAGTTGAAGAACTGGGAAAACCATTCTGAAACTTGTGTAAAAGTAATTTGTGTCTGTGTTTTATTTTGCATCACCCCAAATTCACACAAATGACCTTCGTTTAGTCTTCTGTGCTGGATGGGGGTGAAAATGGCCTTTACCAAGCTTTTGCTTTTTCTCAGGGCCTTTTGCAGTGTCTCAGTCATGTCCAGTGCTATTGCCAGAGTCTTAATGGGGCTCAGATAGTTCCCATAGAACACACTAGATTCAGGGTTATGCCAGGGTCTCTGTAACCCTCAGCACTTTTCCTAGGTTCTCAGTTGAGTTTAGTGTCATTCCCAGGGTCACAGTGTTGCTTGGGGCCTCCCCAGCATCTTACTGAGTCTCAGTCCATTTCCTAGGGACCTAGTGCCTCTGAAGATCTTGCTGAATCTCATGTAAGGGTTTTGACTGTGGAAATGTACACAAGACAGCACATTTCTCTGGTGAGCAAACTACCCTAAAATAATAGGTGTCTTATTTCCCACAGCTGGAACATTCTGCAGTTTCTCTCAGAAACTATTAAGATAACTAATACATGCTTGGCCAGAACTCCTATCTGATTATTAACAAGAACATCTTACATTATAACCTAAAGTATCTGACTTAGTGATATAATGAACAATAATGTACTAGTGGTACGGTGAGCTACTGTAACCTAATGGTATAAATAAGGACAGCTGCTTAGACAACAGCCGTTTTGCCTCTGCATCTTGCTTCCTTCTCCTTTTGTTTTCTTACAGCTGGAGCCCAATGTGGTACCTGGACATCTGAAACACGGACCCTTCTGGATGTGTTAATGGGGGAAGGGAGTAGCTTATCATCTGGAGCAGGCTGATGTGTGTCTTTCACCAGCTGCTACTGATCCCCTTTGGTAAGCTATGGGAAAATGCCTGTCTGACGTTCAACTATGTCATTGGGCTGAGCTCTCCTATTTATTTATCAAGGCTGGACATGCCATATGTAATGCTGTCTTCACTACTTTGCTGGCAGAAGTAGGTTCTTGTTTCTCCTGAAACTCAGAAAATGGTTATGTAGGCACAAAATATTGGGAAGATATAGGTAAGAAGCTTCAGGGGGAATGTGAGCTCCCGTTGCATGCTTGTTATCTTTCTCCCAATGCTATTTGTCTCTCAGCAAACACCTTCTCCTCTGTCTGCTACCACCCACCTGCCATTTGTGATTCTGATATTCTTTATGAAGGTGTTCCCTTCACCTTCACCAACTCCTTCTCCTCTGCTGCCACTGCCACCACTGGTTAGATCTCATTTGGCTGAATGTTTTCAGCAAGTGGAGCAGGAGGGAGAAACTCACACCTTAGCTGTTTGACCTATTAGGCCAAATCCCACTGGCCAGCCAGAGCAAAAGCAATTGTCTTTTGCTGCATAAATGCATTCTGCTGTCATGTATAACTAATAAAAACAATTAAGGAAAATTGCTAGTGGAATGAGATGGACATCATTACCCTAGGTACATGTATGATTGCACATACGGTGCAATGCTACATTGTGTACAATCATAGAAATGAAAAGTTGTGCTGCAATTGTGTACAATGAATCAAAATACATGAGAGCAGTGTCATATATACCTAATTAAAATAAATAGATAAATTTAAAATAAATAAATAGGCTTATCAATATATGTTTTGGAAAGTGGCAATAAGGAGGGAAATGCATTTTTCCAGCCCCCTCAAGATCCTATGACATAAATGTTCCCAGTCTAGACACAGCTGTCTCTTCATGTTAAAACAGAGTGTCCTTCCAGAAATCCTTTCATGCCCCTAGAGGGAGCACTGGCACAGATTTTATTACTATTGAAGAAGCCTGGTGTGGCTTCTTCGGGAGGTATATAAAATTACCACTCAAATTCAGGAGACTTCACCCCAAAATGCTTTGGGATTCTTTTTTCTTATTCTCATAGGGTTAAAGAAAGAAAATTTATTATTCCAGAGGTAATTGATTCTGATCATACCAGTATAATATGAGCCCCAATGTGGTTCCATATGCCTATAAGTCTCCCTAAAGAATCTTCTATTGTTCAATTAATTGTGATTCCTTATGTTACAGCTCAACACCTTTAAACAAAAGAGGAAATGCAAGGTTTGGCTCTACTGTAATGGGAGCATGTTTACTGATCACTGAAAGTGGACTTAAATGAACAACCAATTATGGGATTATTGGACCCAGGTGCTAATGTCACTGTCCTACCCCTTTTGGTATGGCCTCATACATGGCCCCTTCAAAGGGCAACTCTGGTTTGGGGCATAGGAGGCAATAATGAATGAGTCAAGAGCTCCCTGTGATTACAATGCTCTGCCCCTTCCAATCCAATCCAAATTATCACCCATGTGCAGCCATATGTGGTGGCAATACTTTTTCCTATATGGGGCAGAGACATGCTACATAAACTTCAGATGTCTGCAGAATTACCTTTTTTGCAGGGGCCTCTGCAGACCTGACTGCCTTGTCAATAAAGTGGAAATTCACCATCCCTGTCTGGGTTGAATAATGGCCATTGTCAAAGGAAATGTGGAGCTGCAGAGGCCCTTATTCAAGAACAGCTATAATTGGGACATATTGAACCTTCTACTAGCCCTTGGAATATGCCCATTTTGTTATAAAAATAAAATCAGGACAATACAGGTTATTACAAGATTTAAGAGAAATTAATAAATGTATAAATCTATGGGTCTGCTTCATTGTGGATCACCAAACACAAATTTAATTCCTCAGGATTTTTCTTTATATGTCATTTAATTAAAAGAATGTTTTAAAACTATTCCTCTCTTTCCTGATGTTCAGAAAAAAAAATTGCTTTTATTGTCCTCATTTTTAACCATCATAAGCTTACTAATGCTTGCATTGGAAAGTTCTCTCACAAGGAATGCTAAATATCCCAACATTATGTCAATATTTGGTTAATAAAGCCTTGCTCTTTTTCGGTCAGAAATTTTCTCATTTACCTTTTTATCATTATATGGATCATATATTGCTTATAGGATTAAACATCACAAATGAAATTCTACAAACATTACAGGAAGTGTTATTACAATCAGGACTCCATGTTGTTACAGAAAAAAAAAATCAAACTTAACTCTCTATCAGGTACTTGGGACATACATTACTTCAAAAATATTCAATTCCTCACATCCCAAATTTGACTCTTCCTTCAAAAAAATTTTTTTGGTTCATTTACAGCAATTTCTATTATATTTAAATTGAGCATGTTCTTATATTCCATTAACTATTGATATGCTCTCATTTTTTCTAGTTTTTAAAGAAACAACACTACACTGCCTTCTTCAAGCTCTACAGAAATTAACAGAAAATTTTTGCCAGTAATGGTGAGTTGATCTCCTTTATCTAATGTGCCATTATCATTGGTAATTTTTGTTGGAAAACTTTATGCCTTTATATCAGTAATTGCTATTCACAATCAAGGATTGTGAATATTAGAATGGTTCCTCAGTCCTCATTTTTCAGGCTGGAATGTTCTGCCTTTTTCTGATACATATGCATAATTATCTGCTGATGGTTGCACTAAAATATTATCTTTAACAGGCATGGACATTCATGTTTTATATCTCACTTGAAAAATTCTACCTCTCCAATTCTTACAATTTTTCTCCTACTATCAAGTTGAATTGACAGACTTTTTTTTAGCACCAATTTCTTTTCACATGTCTCATGATGATGGGTGAGTCTCTTTGTTATGTCAGGTTACACATTCCCCTCTTTCTTGATCTACCCTTCCTCTTGTAGCTGGGTCAATGTTGTATACAGATAGAGGTAAGCAAAGAGGGGTAGTATCTGTTTTTATTAATGATAAATTCCTGGACCTCTGATGGAAGGTAACACATAAGATGCAGCTGTGAGATCCTTTTATCCTTTATTTTCAGATTCTGTAGAATCACATAGATATTTTCATCTAAACCCTTACTCTCTAGTGAAAATGTTTTCCATTTTTTCCCAGAAGGCTTGTGCCAGTGTCAATACTGTTCTCACTCAGATGATCAGAGAGTACCCAGGGTATCAGAGGGGATCTGGCCTTTCCCAGTGTCAGTGCGCTTTAGAGCCTCACCTAGTCTCAGGAGGTTTCAAGGCCTTCCCCAGATTTTCAATCTTGTTTAGAAAGGGCCACATGATCTTCCTGGTGCTTGTAATATTGCCCTGTGTTTAGAAGATGTCTAACCCTTATAAAGAATCTCAGCTTCATTAATTTTATTCATTATTATCTCAATTGCGTTCAAAATAATCTTCAAATTCATAGGAAGAGAAAGGGGCTTCCTTATTTTGACAGATGTGTGCACAACCTTTGCAAGAATCTTAGTGGTCTCATTGCCTTTCCAGGCTCTCAGTACAGATCAGCACCATTCACAGATTCACAATTTAATCCAAACCTTCCCAAAGGTTCATAGGTCTTGTTGCTTTTTGCAGGGGAACCCTGAGATCAGAGCCAACCTCAGAGTATTCTTTTACTTCAGAGTCTATTATAGGTTGTCCCTGAGGCTCGGTGCTATTCTCAGAATCTCAGTGATGCTCAATGTTTCTTCCAATTTCAGAGTGGGGCTCTGAATCTTCTGAAAGAAAACATGGGGCTCAGGGTTGACCAGGGTTTCTCAATGAATCCCAGAGCCTTCCACAGGTTGTTTCTGGAACTAAGTGTCATTCCCAGCAACACAGTGGTGCTTGGCATCTTTCTCAGTGTTTGATTTGTGTCCAGGCTTTCCCAAGTCTCATTGTGGGTTCTTGGGCCTACAGTACTATTTCAGTGGATATAAAACTCTGCACAATATCTAGTGCTGCTCAGATACTCCCACAGTATTCTGGGAAATTAATGACTTTCTTAATGTCTGATTGGGGAATAGATCCTTGTCCAGTGTGTCACTGTGACAGAGAGATAGCCCCCTTATCATAGTGGTGCTCAGGGCCTTTCCCAGTGTGTCAGCAGCACTCAGGGTTACCCCATGATCACACGTGTAAGCTCAGGGCTTTCTCCAGGGTCTCAGTCTGGCTCAGTGCTTTCTCAAATGACTTACAGGTGCTCAGGAAATTCTCTCGGGTCTTTTTTGAGATGCCAGATGTGATTGGGGTTCTGAGTTTTCCCCTAGAACTTCTCTGAGGCAAAAGGCCTTCAATACACAGTTTTACATGTTGTTTCAGGGCCTCCACCAGGGTCAAGTTTGAGTTCTGGATCTTTCCTAGCGTTTCCTTGCGTCAGTGTTTTTGCAGCTCAACAATGAAGCGCATGGCTTTCCCATGCTATAATGGATCTCAGTGCATTCCCCAGTGTATCTTTAGTTGTCAGAAAAATCTCCAAAATTTCACTGTGACTTAGAGCTGTCCATGAAATTTCAGGGGTATTCAGATGCTTTCCTTCTGTTTTTGTGATTCAAAGCTTTCAAAGTGTCTCTTGGCATTCAGAACATTTATAATATTTTAGTTGAGCTTTCCCACTGTTTCACTGGATTTCAGGGCTTTTGCAGGTCACTTAGGAAGCTCATGATTCTGGTAATTACTCAGTGGATTATAGATTCTTGCCCAGGGATTCGGTGGATGTCATAATCTTCTACAGTCTCACAGTTTAGCTCAGGGTGTTTTTCCAGAATCTTAGTGTTCTCCTTCCCTCCCTCATGCATTCAGTTCAGCTCATGGACATTTATAGTATCTCAGTGTGGTTCACGGTGTTACCCAGGTTTCCAAAGAGAAAAAGACCTCACCCAATGCCTCGGTAGAACTCATGGCCATTACCAGACTCTGACTATTACTCAGGGCCTTTTACATAGTCTCAGTCAAGTTATATGCTATTCCCAGAATCTCATAATGGCTTAAATAATTCTCCCAAATCACATTGAGTTCAGAGATTTTGCAAGGGTCTCACTCATCTCAGCACCTTTCCCAGGTTGTGTTTTTATTGCCATTCCCTGGTTTGCAGGGTTGCCCAGGGCCAGCCCAGAGTCTACTGAGTTGTAGGATATTCCCCAGAGTCTCAGTGGTGTCCAGAGTCTTCTGCAGTGTCTTAGTCATGAAATTACATTTCAGGCACTGAGTGAAGCTATAGTCTTCCGGTAATACCAATGATCAGGCATACCCTAGAGTCTTAGTGACACTCCATGTATCAGAGGGGCTCAGAGTCTTTCCCTGTCTCATAGACCTGTCAAGGCTACACTGAGTCTCTTCCTGTAAGCTCAGGGCATTCTCCATGGTCTCGGTCTGGCACAGTGCATTTATCCATGAGTTACGGGGCTCAGGGAGTTTTCTAAGGTATTTTTTGAGGTCTCAGGTATAATTCGGTCATAGACTTTTCCCCCCAAAATGTATGACCACAGTTTCTGGAGGCTAAAGGCCTTCAATAAACAGATTTACCATTGTGTTTAGGGCTTCCAGCAGGGATTTCTACAGTATCTCAGACTGGTTCACTGCTTTCCTCACTGAACACAGGGGCTCAGGGAATACTCTGGGATTTTTTTTTTTTTTTTTTTTTTGAGAGCTCTTGTATGATTGGGTCATAGTTTTTTGTTTTTTTTCAGAACTTCTGTGAGAGTAATGACTTTTAATAAACACTTTTACCATGAACTTCGGGGCCTGCACCAGGGTCTCAGCAAGATTGTGGATCTTTTATATGGTGTCCTATGTCCCAGTGCTTTTACAGCTCACCAACAAAGCTCCTGTCTTCTCACACTCTGTAGAGGGCCTCCACCTTACATAGTGTACCTGTAGTTCTCAGGCCAATCTCAAGATTTGAATGTGACTCTGGGCAATCCATAAAATTTCAGGCATGTTCAGATGCTTTCCATAAATTTGTGTGACTCAAAGTCATTTAAAAGTGTCTCTTGTCATTGAGAACCTTTACTCAGTTCTAATTGGTATCCTAATTGGCTTTTCCCAGTGTATCACTGGAATTAAGTGCATTTGCAGGTCATCAAGGAGTCTCATTGAGTCTGGCAGTGATTCAGTGGATTGTAGGTTTTTGCCCAGGATCTCAGTGGGTTTCATGGTCTCCTCCAGTGTCAGAGTCATGATTAGCACATTCCTCCAGAGTCTAAGTGTTCTCTTTCTTTTCCTTATGCATCCAGATCAGCTCTTGGACATTCTCCAGATCTCAGTGTGATTCAAAATGTTCCCAGTTAGTCAAAGTAACAAAGGCCTTGCCAGTTCCTGGGGAACTCATGGCCATTACCAGGCTCTCAGATTTTCCTCAATACCTTACAGTGTCTAAGTCATGTTCACTGGTATTCCAAAAGTGTCACCATGGCTTCTATTATTCCTTAAAGACACACTATTCTAGAGTTTCTGCTCAGGTCTCAGAAAAATCTCAGCAACTTTTCCAATTTGTCAGTAAAGTTTATTGCCATTCTCAGGGTCACAGTGTTGCTCAGGGTCAGCCTTGAGTCTTACTGAGACTCCTGGCATTCCCCAGAGTCACAGTGGTGCCCAGGGCCTTCTCCAGTCTCAGTGCTGCCATGTTTTTCTCAGGCACTACAGTGACACTATACTGTTCCCAGGTTACACTGATGATCAGGACCTATTTTGGTGTCTCAGTAACCATCTTGGTATCAGAGGAGTTGGGTGTCTTTTCCATGTCAGTGTTCCTCAGGGCCTACTCTAGAATCTCAGAAGGGCTTAATGCCTTGCCCAGAATTTCAATCTTGTTTAGAAAGTTTCACATTGTCTTCATGGTGCTTGGGATATTGCCTAGTTTTTAGAACATGCTAAAGGCTTCAATAAAAGAATCTCAGATTTGTTAATTGTATTTACTATTGTCTCAGTGGTGTTCAAAATATCCATCAGATTTTTAAGAAGGCAAAGGGCCCTCCTTACATTGGCAGGTGTTTGCACAACTTTCCCAAGACTTAGTATTTTCATTGCCTTCTCAGATCTCAGTGCAGATCAGCTCCATCCAAAATTTTACCATTTTCTCAGGGCCTTCCCAGGGCCTCGATAAGTGACATTTCCTTTTATAGGGGAATACTTGGTTTCAGAGCTAACCTCAGGGTCTCCTGTTGTTTAAGAATCCCAGTGCTATTCTCAGAGTCTCAGTGATGCAAATGCTTAGTCAAGCCTCATTGTGATGCTCTAAATCTTCCCAATAAAAATACAGTTTTCATGGCTGTTTAATTTTCAGGAAAATTTTTAGGATTTCAGCATGACTCACAACTGTACATAGAATTTCAGGGGTGTTCCATGAGTTTGTGTGATTCAAAGGCCTTTAAAAAAGTCTATTGGCATTCATGGTTTTTGTTAGTGTCTCAGTAAATCTCAGCACTTTCCCCAGGTTCTCAGTGGAGTTCATTGCCATTCTCTGGGTCACAGTGTTGCTCAGGTCCTGCCCAGAGTCTTTGTCCCAGGGCATTCCCCAGGATTACAGTGATCTCCAGGTCCTTTTGCAGAGTATTTGTCATGTCATTTCCTTCCTAGGCATTCAGTGATGCTGTAGTTTTCCCAGGAAACACTGATTATCACTGCCTATGCCAAATTCTCAGTGACAGGAAGGGTATCCAAGGGACTCAGCATCTTTCCCAGGGTCAGTGGGCCTCAGAGCCTACCCTAGAGTCTTGTAGCTGGGTTGATGTTATACACAGATGGAGGTAAGCAAAGTGGGTAGTATCTGTTTTTATTAAATTGATAAATTCCTGGACCTCTGATGGAAGGTAACACACAGATGCATCTGTGAGATCCTTTTATACTTTATTTTCAGTTGCTGTAGAAGCTCATAGATATTTTCATTAAAACACTTGCTCACTAATGAAGATGTTTTCCTGTTTTCCCAACAGACTTGTGCCATTGTCAATAACTGTTCTTACTGGATGCCCTTCTGAGACCCCATGTGGGAATCTGTAAATCCATGGGGCCTATAGTCTAATGCACTTTGGGAAATGGATAATGTTCATTTCCTTTCCATCTCACTTTTATCCTTTTTCCTTTCTCCATGTTTCCATTAGGACTCATTCTGGGTTCATTAGGGCTAGTGCCCATGGGTCTGAAAAGGTACCTGCTTGCATTTCTAATTTTTTACTCTGCTTTGTCACTATGGACAAATAAATTTTAAAATATATCAATATATGCACTTTCATATATGTCCTATGCTTTTGCATAATTTTGTACTCATTGGATTGACTGTCACAGCTTACAAAAAAGTATGAAATTAGCCTTTGCTATGGTGAAAAACTCTATGGAAATCAATATGTTAAATGAAGAAAAAAATCATTAAGTCATTCTTCACAATTGGGCTGAAATTGATTATTTATTATTATTACATCATAAAGGCTGTAATGACCTTAACAATATGTGTTACTTTAATATAAGGGACAATAGTAACTCCATTTCAAAAGAGTTAGATTACCTTGTAGACATCATTAAAAAGATCCAATAGGGTTATGGAAGTTTAGATATATTGGATTGGTTAACTGTGTGGTTAACCAATCTTACTTGGATTAAACAACTAGTCATAGGTGAGTGTCTACTAATACTGGGATTGTTCTTTTGTTTTTGTTGTTGTTGAAGCCTACCCTATTTTTTACCTCCACCAATATTAAAAAACAAAACAAAACAAAAAATAAACCCCAAATGTTATCCCTCCAAAAGGCCACACAAAACAAAAAAAGGAGGAGCTGTAAGGCTCTGACTGTGGAAATGTATTTAACAGCAAGTGTCTCTGGTGAGCAAACTCCTGGAGAACAAGAGGTGTCCTGTTTCCCACAGCTGGAACATTCTGCAGTTTCTCCCAGACACTATTACTAAAACTAATGCATGCTCAACCAGAACACCTAATGTACTAATGGTGCAGTGAGCTAATGTAACCTATCAGTATAAATAAAGACAGCTGCTTAGACAAGCAGCCATTTTGCCTCTGCATCTTGCTTTCTTCTCTTTTTGTTTCCTTACAGTCTCAGGACAGTCGCAGTTCATAGATTCACAGGTTCTTCAATGTTTTACTGGTTTATTTGCCTTCTCACACAGTCATTGGCGCTTAGCAACATTGACACATTCACAGTCATGCAGAATGCCTGCCTCTGACCCTTCATGATGTCAAGGATTTTCTTCAAGGTATCTATATCTTTGGTATTTTCTCAACATGAGTAAATCTCATGGTCAACTCTAGCATCTAAGATCAGGGCCTACCCAGCAGCTCAAGAGGACCCAAGGACTTAACCAGAATTTCAATCATGTTTAGAAAGGTCCTCATGGTCTCCATGGTGCTCAGATTATTGCCCAGGTTTTAGAATAGGCTAAAGTCCTACAAAATCTCAGAGGGGTTAAGTTCATTTACTGTTGACTCAATAGTGTTCAAAATCTACTCAGAGTAGTAGGGGGCTCAGGGTCTTCCTTAGGTTGACAGATGTATGCATGGCCTTCCCCAAAATCTCAGTGGTCTCATTGCCTTTCCAGATTCTCAGTGAAGCACAGCATATTCCCAAGGTCTGTAAGATCTCTGGGCCTTCCTGAAGGTTCTCAATAGGTGCCATTGGTTTCTCTAGGGGCTCGCTGAGTTTGAGAACCATTCTCAGAATCCCCTTCTCTTTAAGGGTCTTTTACACCTTCTCTATGAGGCTCAGTGCTATTCTTGGGATCTCAGTGATGCTCACTGCTTCTCTCAGCCTCAGAGCTAGTCTCTGAATCTTTCCCAAGCAAATAGTAGGTTCAGGATCTTTCAGAGTTTCTCATTGAATCCCAGGGATTTGCCCAGGGTCTCTGTGGAGCTGAGTGCCATTTCCAGCATCACAGTTGTGCTCAGCTGTTCTCCAGGATTTGATTTTATGTCAGGACTTTCCCAAGAGTAGCAGTGAGAACTAGGGTTTTCCTTTCTATTTCAGCAGGTTTAAGGACTCTTCAAAATATCTAGTTGTGCTTAGATTCTTCTACAGTATTCTAGATAACTAATGGCTTTCATTAATGACTCAATGGGGATTAGTGTCTTGCCAGTGTGTCATTGAACTTATGGGACATTCCCATTGTCACAGTGGTGGTCAGGACCTTCCACATTGTGTCCTTTGTCCTCAGAGCCACCACAGGTTTCTGAGAATAAGCTCAGGGCTGTCTCCATCTGCTTTGAACTCTGAAGTATTCTGCATCAGGGTTATTTAGGCCCTTGTCTGTCAGGTCTGTCTGCTGGAGAACACTTCACCCATGACATCAGTGAAGTTGTAATAGGTTGTCCTTTTCTGATAGGCAGCAGAATTGCTGGGTTTAGAGCCTATACAACTTCAATGTGGATTTGTGGATTTTCACAGAACATGCCCTGGTATTTGACCATTCTTTCATTATCAAGCCAATATTATCCTTTGAACTTTTATAATGTCAGAATTAATGAGGAACACAGATACCTAATTCTTGTTTCATAGCTTCCAACACCAGAAGGGCCATGATTGAAAGGGCCCATAAGCAAGGAGGCCAGCCTTGGGCTACATACAGATTCCAGCTGTTTAGATAGATAGGCCACTGGATGTGCCATGTTCCCAACATTTCAGAAAGACTCGTACAGCTATTCCATTTCATTCATAGACATACAGGAAGAAGACTTTGTGAGATCAGGGAGTCCTAGTTCAGGTGCATTGGTGAGTGCTTCTTAAGTGTCTCAAAGGCCTTTTGTTTTGTTGGTCCACCAAATAGCAGATTCTGTTTTTTCCTTTGTGTGCCTTCATAGAGAGGTTTTGCCTTAACTGAAAAGTTGGGGATCCATACACAGCCTAATTAAACAGCACCAAAGATCTCTGATTTGGCAGCAGGTTGAAGGGACTGGAATTGAGCAGGTCACCTGTTTCCTCTTGTAGCCTAGTTGCAAGTGACTCTGAGTCAAACAGAAACCAAGGTATTTGACTTTTTCTTGACAGATCTGGGCTTTCTTTTTTGAAACTTTGCAATGAGCCTTAAGTAGGAGAGTGAGAAGCCGCTGTGTTCCTTTTATGCCATCTTCTCTGGTTGTTATCCCAGTATTTCAATTTAGCAGGCCATGTAGTAGTCATGGACTGCTAAGTTGAAATGCTGGGATAAGGGGAAAGGATGATGAGTTTGTTTCCTGGGGCCATCTTAATTGTGGTTTCTTCCTTTGAAAGTGGGCCCACAGTTTGGGTCACAACCAAATGGTGAGCCCCAGTGTCCACCATAAATTTTAAAGGTTGGTCCCCTATAAGTGTTGGGACCATAGGTTTCTGGGTGCCCAAAGAGATGGAGCCCAGTCAGTCCTAGTCCTCATCATAATTTTCCAAGTCTTCAAATCCCACAAACTTTTCTCATGAGCATCATAGGGGTGTCTTTGTCATTGAGCATCATGAGGGACACATTTGTAGGGCTGGTATTATCCATGAAGGACTTGTCCTCACTTATCCTGGTAAGGAGTAGTAAGAACCCAGTTGACTTTCTTCAGTGTGGGGCATTCATTTTTCCAGTGTCCCTCTGGCAGTGGGTGCATTGGTTTAGTCTCAGCCTAGTCTCCAGGTGAGGAGGTTGGTCCAGACCATCCTCCAGCCCTGCATCTGGTTCTGATTCTGATATTTGTTTTGGCTTTGTCCTGGTGGGAACCCCTTTGGGTGACTTCTGGGTCTGTAGTAAGGGCAGCTGCAAGGAAAAACCATCTTCTTCATCTTTCAGTCTGCTTCTTGCTGGGTCTCTTGGTCTTGATTGACAAACACTGTGGTGGCCACTTCAAACAGCTCACTGGCATTATTCCCAGCAAAACTCTCTAGTGTTTTGTAGTTTTAGTGACTCTCACTCTTGGTCTGTCCCACAATGGTTGTGTTGTCCATCTGCTGGTTGTCTGGTGCCTCAGGATCAAAGGGAGTAAAAAGTCAGAGGCTTCACAAGGTTGTTCATAGAACTGGCTGGGGATTTCATGAGGATTTTGGAGAACTTCTGACATCTTGTTCATGTTTAGAGCTCTCCTTCCCTTCTTTGAAGTCCTATGAGGGGTTGGTGATATATCTATATCTTTTGGAGGTCTGTGTCTTTTCTGGGGTCCCACCCTGAGTCTCTGTTGGGGAACTGGGCATGGGCATAAACTTGGATGTTGCCTTGTGCATCTGGGACATATTTCTCTAGCCATTTTAAAGTACATGGGTCACACATTTGCCCACATCTATATTGAATAAAGTAAGAAGTAGCTGGCAGCAGTTCCCCCAGTGTTTCAGTCAGCTGGTGTGACTAAAAAAATCTGACCAGAACGATTTTTAAAAAGGAAAAGTTTATTTGAGGGCTCACAGTTTCAGATGTCCTAGTCCATAGAAGGCTGAGTTCATTCCTTGGGGCTCCAGTTGAGGCAGAACTTCATGGCAGAAGAATGTGGCAGAGGGACACAGCTCACGTATTGATCAGTAAGCAGAGAGAGAGAGATTCCACTTGTGAGATACAAATACATATCTAAAACCACACCTCAATTCCCACCCCCTCCAGCCACACCCTACCACTTTAGTTATGACTCAGTTAATCTGTATTAGATGATTAAATAATTAATTGGATTCAGACTGTTACACCCAACTATTTTCCTCTGAATCTTCTTGCATTATCTAACATGTGAGCTTTGGGGGGACACCTTACATTCAAACCATATCAAGCAGGTAGATTAGTGGGTCTGGATAATGAATTGCATCATATTAATCATGGTCTGAGTTTTCTCTGTGTAGCAGGTAGTATGATATTTCCAATTTTAGAGATAATTTAGGTGAAAGCCTGATACTTAAAAATGCTTTGGGCCCCTCAGATGATTTCCTCCTGGTCAACATAGGCAGGCCTTCTAGTCTCCCATAGGGGCATCTAGAGAGCTCTAAGTTTGGTTGTGGCTCTGGTCTTAGGATGGGTTCCCATCTTGGTCTTGCAAGGTGGAGGAGGAATCATTTTCCTTGGGGAAGCCTCTGGCCTTAAGTACCTTATAGAGGAGGAGGAGCTGGCCATATTCTGCAGTTTCTAGAAATGAGGGAACCAAAGGTCCTGCACATTCTCAATGGTCTTGGCAATATTTGCTAGAGTGGCATGTAAGGAGGTGGGTTCTCTTCTGACTCACTGGACAAAATAGGTTCTTGTTCTGCAATTGCTTTGTAAGTTTTTCTCTGTCTAGTTGCCTTTTGGGGGTGTCTTAGAGGCTGGTATAATCTGAGCTAACATCAATTTGGATTGTCCATCTAGACAGGCTCTCAACCAAGGAAGGTGTTTCTAGACTATCTCTTTCCAGCAATCAAGGGAACTATTCTGGGTATCCAGGGATTCCAACAACTATTAAAAAGACTTCAGCAATGAGAGTTTTAATTAAAGATCCTCCTGGTGGCCGCACCTAATCTTAGCCATTCTAATTCACAGAGAGTACACAAATTTGTTGAGTAAACTTCACTCCATAGTCTCTCCTAAAACCTTTATTAAGGTTTCACAACAGATATTCCAAGGGCTTTAAGGGATTTAGTTACTTTGTGTGCCTCCCATATTCCACCCTGCATCAGTGTCACATACTTCTGACAAGAATCACATAGTCCATCTCCAGCCTTTCTCCTCTTAGGACTTGGAGTCCTCTCAGCCTTGTCGGTCCATGTCAACCCCCAACCTGGAACTTCCACCTAGATGTTGGTTGGTGCAATTCTGTCACAGACTGTATGAGGTTCCATGGAACCATGAATTGGAACTCAGCACTCACTTTGTACTCAGGCTGGGTCTGAATTCTTCCCTTGTCCATCTCATTTACACTTTCACATAGACATGGTGTTATGGGCCAGCCTATATGAGCAATGACCAAACAGACTCCATTTTATCCTGAGACTCCATGTCATGTAAGAAATGCTTCTCCCATGAGAAAATTCTGCCTCTGCCATCCTGATCCTGCTTAGCACACCCTGCTTAGAAATATTTTTTTCTTGTTCTTATATAATGTAAACTGGTTTTGGTTTCCATTTTTTTTTTTTTTTTGGACAGTGTACCCTGTCAGAGAAATATTTTCTAGATGTTAGTAATCATTCTTTAACTGGTAATCAAAGGGGGTCATTTGACCTTCTTCCCCTTCTGCTTATGATTTTAGATATTATGTTATTTGTTTACTTTGAATCATAGCAAGAGCCTCTTATGATTAATATGGTTTTGGACTATAGAGCTGTACTCTAACCCTTGGAGGTGGTCAAAGAGTGTAAACTTGCAATCTTCACCTTAGCCTATCAGCTGGTAAATCCAGACTACCAGCTGTTGAATAAATATCCCATCTCCTGCTTAAGACAGACTCAGTGATTTATTGCAATCTTGCCATAACAGTGGCCAGAGCAATATTTTAAAACCCCATATTACACTAACAAAAAGGGAGTCACGGTTTCCCCTATGCTTGTTGACCCCTGGATCCTTTTTGGCTCCAAATCCTTTTGGAGGTTATTCAGGATGCTCAAATGTTGACCAAGCCTCTCTTCCACCTACGTGGGCCTCTTGGTTGAAGTCAGATGGGATACAACTGAAGAATTTGGGACCCTACCTGTTTGGTCAGGTGGTGCTCCATGTTCCCTATTCCTGGATCCTTCTCCTCATGGGTTCTGTTGTGGTTCAAAGTGGCAGCTCTGAGATGTCAGGTGAGTCATTCCTCCTTCAGTAGAGTTGCCTCTGTGGTGTGCTAAGGGGAAGCAATGTCCTCCAACATCCCAGACTCCAGAGACAAGAGAGGCAACTTCACCATTTCCATCCCATGTGGATTGCCAAATGATGCAGGACAGATGAGGCTACACACCTGAGGAATTGGCAGAATGAAGGTTTATTGGCAACAGCTGTTCAAAGTGTGGCTATATCCTAAAATTTCCTCCACTGAACCATTAGTCTAGAAACTCTTTGAACTTTATACCCACTGGGAGGAGGGGCTTGGATTTCTACTTTTGCTGGAGTCTACCTAAAAGTATCTTATTTCTTTGAGTTCATAGAGAGTACTTTTTTCTAACTCTTCTTCTTTTTTTTTTTTTTTTTAGAGTGGTCTGAGGTTATATGGTTTACCACAAAAGCAGAATTAACATTACAAAGCTTTTTTTTTTTTTTTTTCCAAACTTAGCTTTTACAAGACAGAGTAACAGGACATAGGAAGTCTAACCACATTGGGGCTTTTTTTTTTTTTTTGGCAGGAATTTATTCTGGTATTCTGTTATTAAGAATACATATGTTGAAGGTACCTGGAGAGGCTTAATTAAGGTTCATTGGTGGAGGAGGGGGCACCACTACACTCTGGGACTTCACAGGGTTTCAATAGGTCATATTGATTTTTCCTGGGGCCCATGCAGTTTCAGAGCCATCCTCAGAGTCCTGTTTGTCTTCAGGATCTTTTACATGTTCTCCATGAGTCTCAGTGCTGTTCTCAGAGTGTCAGTTGCTCAGTGCTTTGTCCAGCCTCAGTGTAAGGCTCTGAATCTTCCCAAAGGAATCACTAGGTTCAGGCTCTTTGGGGCTTTTTTAATAAATCCCAGGGCCTTTCCCAGGGCCTCTGTGGAGCTAAAGTGCCATTGCCAGCATCACAGTGGTGCTTAGCATCTTCCCCAGAGGTTGCCTGTGTGTCAGGGCCTTCCCAAGAGTCTTAGTAAGGCCTAGGGCCTACCCTACTGATTCAGTGGCTTAAAGAACTCTGCACACTCTGTAGTGGTACTTAGATTCTTCCACAGTTTCCTGGGTAAAGAATGGCCTTCACCAGTGTCTCAGTGGGGAATAATTCCTTGCGCAGTGTGACATTAAAATTCAGGGAAATTCCTCTTGTCACTGTGGTGCTCCGGGCCTTCTGCAGTGTCAGTGGATTTCAGGGTCACCACATGTTTCTTAGTGTAAGCTCAGGGCTTTTTCTAGAGTCTCGGTTTGGCTTAGTGCTTACCCCAATGGGTTACAGGGGCTCAGGGAATCTTTCAGTTTTTTTTGTTTGTTTGTTTTTGTTTTTGTTTTGTTTTGTTTTGTTTTTTTGTCCCTGGGTCTTCCATGAAGCTAAAGGCCTTCAATAGCCTCTCAGTGGGGTTTGTGGACTTCTTTAGCATCTAAGTTCAGTTGTTTTAGTCATCTTTTTTGTTGGTTTAATGTAAGAACCTGAATAAAACAACTGTGGAGGAGGAAAAGATTATTTGAAGGCGCAGAGTTTTAGAGGTCTTGGTGCACAGAAGACTGGCTCCACTCCTCAGGGCTCGAGGTGAAGCAGAAAATCATGATGGAAGAGTAAAGCAGCTCACAGGATGAATAGGAAGGAGAGAGCAGGAACTCTACTCATAAGATATAAAATATATACCCCAGGCTGGGGCTGTAGCTCAGTGGCAGAGTGCTTGCCTTGCACACATGAGGTACTGAGCTCGACCCTTAGCACCATATAAAAATAAATAAAATAAAGACATGCTGTCCATCTATAACTACAAAAATAAAATAAAATAAAATATATACCCCAAAGAAATGCCCCCAAAGTTCTACCTCTCCAGTCATACCTTACCAGCCTTCAGTTATCACTCAGTTAATTCCTTATTGAATTAATGCTCTTAGGACCCAATCATTTTTTTCTCTGAACCTTTTTGAATTGTCTCCCATGTGAGCTTTTGGGAAACACCTCATATCCTAAACATCACATTCCACACCTGTCCCCCAAAAGCTCACAACCATCTCACAATGCAAAGTACATTTTGTCCATTCCCAAGAGTTTCTATGGTCTCAACAGTTCCAAGACTGCTCAGAGTTCAAGTCCAAAGTCTTCTCTGAGGCTCAATGCAATTTTTCATTGTGATAAAATGAAAAGCAATTTACTATTACCCAATATATAATGGGTACAAAGTAAACATTTCATTCACAAAATTAGGGGCATAGAAAGAAGGGATAGGATCAGAGCAAGACCAAAATCCAGCTGGTCAAACAGGTCCTGTAGTTCTGTGTCCACATCTGAAACACATGGCATCATGATGTTCTTCCCAAAGGTCTTGTGTATCCCTACCCCTGTGGCCTTGTTGCTTGTAGCCCAAGTGGTTGTTTTGGGCTTGTCTCTGCTCAATTCCTGCAGCTTTCCAAGAATGATGTCCCATGTTACTGGCATTTCTTAATGAGGAGGGTTTGTCTCCACTGCAGCTTCAGTTTCCTCCTCATAACTGCAGACTTTGACTTCTCAGGTGCCCACAGGGACTCCAATCCTGTTGCACTTTGTCTGGTTTCCCAGGCCTTCCTTTGAAACCAAGGAAGAACCCTCCATAAATCCCTAACTCCAGCATCCTACATTCATGCAGAACAAGAACCTCATGATTGGTCCCAAGGCCTGCCACCATGTTGAGCAATAACCAAGATTCTAGGGACCCTGGCTTCAGCAGCCTCTGAGTGTTTGGGTAGTGGAGCCTGTAGAAAACATTTTCTAGCCCCCCTTGGGTTAGAAGGTTTCCCCTCTAGTCTCTTGTTAAGAAAATTCTCACCTTGAGATGAGTGTAGACTTGCCAGATTTTGAGAAGTCCTTAAGCCACCTTTCTTATTGTCTCTGTTCAAAGTCTTTAGCATTTTTGTAGGGGTGGTAATGACTTTAACAACTGCAACATCCTTAGGCTTAGTTTTATGAACTTTCAAGTTGATTTTTTCCAAATATTTCTGCTCTGCTTTCTGCTCCTGAATATTACAATAAATTTGGCTAAAAGGTGCCAGCAATGTCTCTGTCATTGTCTGAATGCTACGCTGCCTAGATATTTCTTCAATCACATAAGGAAGTCATTTTTGGGGCTAGGATTGTGGCTCAGTGGCAGAGCATTCACCTAGCATGTGTGAGGCACTGGATTCAATCCTCAGCACCACATCAATAATTAAGAAAGAAAGGAAGGAAGGAAGGAAGGAAGGAAGGAAGGAAGGAAGGAAGGAACAAAGAAAGAATTGTGTTCATCTACAACTAAAAACAAACAAACAAACAAACAGAAAGTCCATCACTTCTAAAATCGGCCCCATTGAAAGTCTCAGGGCCTGGGCAAAATGCAAACACTTCTCAGCCAGAACATAACAAGAATGACCTCAATTCTAAATTCCAGTAAAGTCCTCCATTTCTAAACCTTCTTGAGCTTGGTCTTTACTGACCTGTGTACTGTTGCCAATTGGTCTTCTGAGCTCCCACCAGAATCAGCCATTAATCTCTGCTTACAACAATCTAAAGCATTTCCATCTGCACTGCTACACATCTCAAAATTCCTCCCACCAATTCCAAAATGCTCAAAATGCTTATTAAACATGAGTTTAATAAGTACTTAGTCACAAAAATTACTCACTTCTTGGTACAATATCTCTTTTACTCAGCTTTTTGCACTCCTGTGACTAAAATAACCCACAAGAACAATCACAGGGGAGGAAAAGTTTATTTGGGGGCTCATGGTTTCAGACATCTTAGTCCATACAAAGCTAGCTCCATACCTGAGAGCTTAAGGCAAGGCAGGACATCATGGTTGTTAGGATGGCCTTAGGCCTGAGCCTAAGCAACACCATTTTAAAAATTCCTGTTTAAAACCTGCAGTTTCACCAGACACACACACAGAGCCCTTCAGTGTGGCCACAAACAAGTTACATACCCTCACCATGATAAACAGAGTGAAGCCCCTGGCAGGCTGTCTTCACCTGATAAGAGAAAAAGTGGAGAAGATCAGGGTCAGATGTTTCTGACCCCAGGTAAATGATGTCACTGAGAAATCTGGTGGTAGCTGATAAGGATTGAAAGGGGGTCAAAACCTCAAAATTTAGTATAAATAATAGAGCAAATGAACAGGGATTCAGCCAGCTGAAACAAGGATGCACTCAAGCTGGAGAGCCTGATGAGGACCTGACATCCCATCACTTGTCATCATTTCCTGAGCCTCTGTGTAATCCTCACCACTCTCAAACTCTACCACCTTGTTTGGACCTTGGTGAGAGACACAACTTCTCCCTATGACCCTCTCCTCAACCAGTCATCCACTCCATGCCAGGAAACAGCCTGCCTTGGTTCCGGACCTGATCACCGTGGTCTGAGTGAGAGTGCATCTGCTGGACCTAAAGCCTAAGGCTTGCAGATGAAATGTCTGTCATTAGACCATCATGATTAAGTGTGTTTTTGCAGTGCTATAATTAATCTAGAATTGTTTGCTGTGAATTAATTAATCTAGAATTGTTTACTGGGAATTGATTATGTCCATTGCAGTGCCTAGCATTAAGGATTGTAATTTTCTTGATTAAAAACCTATAAAATGGAATTTTATTGAGTATTTTGAGTGAATAAAGCATTGAAAGGGGCAGAATAGTGTGGACATTCTTATTTCTCCCCTCGACTGCATACATCACAATTTTGTCTCCTCGTGACAATGGTAAAAGAGTGTGTCAGAGGGAAGAAACACACATGGCCAATGTAAAGCAGAAGATAACTCCATTCACCAGATACAAAATATATATCAGAATGCCATGCCCCAAAAGTCCCAACTCCTCCTGACACACCTCAACAGCCTTCAGTGACCATTCAGTTAATTCAAATGAGGGGACTGAACAACTGAGTATATTAAGGCTCTTAAGACACAATAATTTCTCCTCTGAACCTTCTTGCATTGTCTCATGTGTAAAGATTTGGAGTACACCTTATATTAAAACTATAACAAGACTTGTGGACCTTTCCCAGGGTCTCCTTGTATCTCAGAGATTTTTGAGATCAACAATGAAGCTCATTGCTTTCTCATGTTCATTAGTGGTCCTCAGTGCCTTCCACAGAACCTCCAGAGTACTAAGGATACACGGAAATTCAGTGTGACTCAGAGCAATGTCTCTAGGCATTCAGGGTCTTCACAGGTATCTAATTTGGGTGCAAGACTCTTCCCAGTGTATCATTGGGATTGAAAGAATTTGCAGATCTCTAAAGAGCCTCACAGCATTTCATACTGATTCAGTGGAGTGTGGTGCCTTGCCCAGGGCATCAGTGTGTTTCATAGTCTCCTCCACTTTCACAGTCATGCTCAGGATGTTTTCCCCATAGTCTTAATGTTATCTTTCTTTTCCTTGGGTATTCAGGTGTGATCTTAGACATTCCTAGCATTTCAGTGTGGTTCACTGAAAAAGAGACAGAAGCCCTGCTTAGGGCCTCTGGGGATCTCATGGCCATTACCAGGCTCTCAGTGTTTCTCAGGGCCTTTTACAGTGTCTAAGTCATATTAAGTGCTATTCCCAGGGTGTCATCTGGAATTAAGTAGTTCCTCAAGGGTACCGTGTTCAGGGTTTCTGCCAGGGTCTCAGAAAATCTCAGCACCTTTACTAGGTTCTCAGTAGAGTTCAGTGTCATTCCCAGGGTCACAGGGTTGCTCAGTCCAGTTCAGAAACTTTTTGAGTCTCAGGGCATTTCCCAGGGTCACAGTGGTGCACAGAAACTTCTCCAGAGTGTGAGGGGTGTCATTTTCTTTCCAGGCTCTCAGTGAAGCTATAATCTTCCTAGGTTACAATGATGCTAAGTGCCTTCCCCAGAGTCTTAGTGATCCTGAGGACCTTCTTCAGGGTATCAGAGGAGTTCAGGGTCTTTCCCAGTGCCAATGGAACCCAGGGCCTACCCTAGAGTTTCAGGAGGACTCAATGTGTTCTCCAGAATTTCAATCTTGTTTGAGAGGTCCACATGGATTTCATGGTGCTCAGATTTTTTTTCCCAGTGTTTAGAAAGTCTAAGGTCTCAACAAGATTCACAGAGTTGTCAAATTCATTCATGGTTGTCTCAATGATGTTCAAAATTTTCCTCAATGTCTTTAGAAGGCAAAGAGCCATTCTTAGGTTGACAGATGTATTCACAACCTCCCCAAGAGTCTTAGTGGTCTCATTGCCTTCCCAGGCTCTCAGTGCAGCTCAGCAACCTTCCGATGGTCACCATGTGCTCAGGGCATTAGTGAGGGTCTCAGTAGTTCTCCTCACATTTTCCAGGGCTCACTGAGTTTCAGAGCCATCCCCAGAGTCTCCTTTTCTTTCCTGTATGTTTACAGGTTCTCCATGAGGCTCAGTGCTAGTCTCAGAGTCTCAGTGATATTCAGTGCTTCTTCCAACCTCAGAATGAGGTTCTGGGTGTTCTCCAAGGTTTAGGGCCATTCAGGGTTTCTCAACAAAGTCCAGAGCACTACCCAAGGTCTTTGTGAAGCTGAGTGTCATTTCCAGCATCACAGTGGTGCTCATCATCTTCCCAAGAGTTTGATTAATTGTGTCAGAGCATTTCTAAGTGTCATGGTGAGGCCTAGGATCTACCCTCTTCTTTCAGCACATTTACAAACTGTACACAATATATAGTGGTGCTTAGACTCTTCCCCAGTATTCTGGAAACATAATGGCTCTTACTAGTGTCTCCAAGGGGAATAGTGCCTTGCCCAGTGTGTTATTGTAACAGATAAATATTTCCATTGTCACAGTTGTGCTCGGTTCCCTCCCCACTGTGTCAGTGGCATTTGGGCAACTCCATTTTTCTGAGTGTAAGCTCAGAGTTTTCTTCAAAGTTTAGCTCTGACTCAGTGCTTTCCTCAGTGACTTACTGGGTTCAGAGAATTCTCTAGGGGTGTTTTGTTTGTTTTGAGTTATCAGGTATAATTGGTTTTCAGATTTTCCCCAAGAACTTCTATGTGCCTAAAGACCTGAAATAGCTTCTCAGTGGGTTTTGTGACTTCCACCAGGGTCTAAGTGGGTTTGAGGACCTTTCCCAGGATATCATTGTGTCTCAGTGCTTTTCAGACTCAACAAGGAAGCTCATGGCTCTCTTCTGTTCCTTACTGGGCCTCAATGCCTTCCACAGTATATCAGTAGTTCTTTTAATCCTCTCCAGATTCTCAGTCAGACAAAAGGCTATCCATGGTATTTCAAGGGTGTTCACATGTTTTTTTAACAAGTGTGTGTTTTAAAGGCCTTCAAAAGTGTGTCTTAGAATTCAGCCATTCACTGGTGTCTAAATGGGATTTAGGGGTTTTCCCAGTGAATCACTGGAATTTAGAACTTCTCCAGGTCAGTATGAATCCCATGGCCTTTCATGTGCATTCAATGGAGTGTGATTCTTTCCTTGCCCAGAATCTCAATGAGTTTTATGGTCTCCTCAATTCTCATAGTCCTGTTCAGGGTGGTCTCCCAGAGTCTCAGTGTTCTCCTTCCATTCCTCAGGCATTCAGTGGATCTCTTGAACATTCCCTGAATCTCAATGTGGTTCAGGATGTTCCCCAAAATTTCATAGAGCCAAAAGCATTGCCCAAATCCTCAGTGGAACTCACTACCATTACCAGCTCCTCAGGTTTTCTCAGAATATTTTGCAGTGTCTCAATCATGTTCAGTGCTATTACCCAGAGTCTCACCTCGGCTTAAATATTTCCCCAAAGGTAGACTGGGTTCAGTGTCAGTAAATCTCAGCCCCTTTTCCAGGCTCTCAGTGGAGTTCATTGCCATTCCCAGGGTCACAGTTGTTCCCAAGGCCTTCTTCACAGTCATAATGGTGTCATTGCCTTTCCAAGCAGTCAATGAAGCTATAGTTTTCCTAGGTTACACTGGTGACCATGGTGTACCCCATTGTCTACCTGACACTCAGCGCCTTCTTCATGATATCAGAGGAGCTCAGGGGCTTTTGTTTTTGTTTAGTTTTGTTTTTGTCAGTGTGTCTCATGACCTATTCTATGGTCTGAGGAGGGCTCAAGGCCTTCCTCAGAATTTCAGTCATGTTTAGAAACCTCCACATGTTCTTCATGGTGCCCAGATTATTGCCCACTGCTGAGAATGGGCTGATGGCCTCAATAAATGTCTCAGTGTTTTAATCACTGTTTGCTCAGTGGTGTTCAAAATTTCTTCAGAGTCTTAAGAATGCTAAAGGCCTTCCGTAGGTTGACAGTTGTATTCACAGCCTTCCTAGGTTTCTTTGTGCTCTCATGACTTTCACAGGGTGTAAGTGCAGATGAGAACCATTCCCATGATCACCTTGTGCTCAGGTTCTTTTCTGGGGTCTTAATAGGTCTCATTGCCTTTTCTAGACCTCCCTGGACTTTAGAGCCATCCCCAGTGTCTCCTTTTTTTCTTGATTTTATTGACTTTCCCCATAGGTTCAGTGCTATTTTCAGAATATCAGTTGATGTTCAGTGTTTCTTCCAGAATCAGAGTGACACTGAATCTTCCCAGTGGAAACATTGGGTTCAGGGCCTTTCAACAATTTTTACTGTATCCCGGGGATTTTTTCTGTGTCTCTGTGGAGCTAAGTGCCATTCCCAGCATCACAATGGTGCTCAATATATTCTTGGTGTTTAATTGAGTGTTAGAGACTTCCCAAGTATCATAGTGAGGCCTGGGGCCTACCCTGACCTTTCAGGGGGTTTTAGGATGTTTAACAATATCTAGTAATGCTTAGATTTTTCCCAAATTTCTTGGAAAATATTGGCTGTCACTAGTGTCTCAATGGGGATTAGTTCCTTGCCTAGTGTGTCATTGAAACTCAGAGATATTGACATTATCATAGTGTTGCTCAGGGCCTATCCACTCTCTCGTGGTACGCAGGGCTACTCCATGTTTCTTAGTGTAAACTCAGGGCTTTGTCTGGAGTCTCAGTCTGACTCAGTGTTCACTTCAATAGCTTATCAGACCTCAGAATATTTTCTAGGCTTTTGTTGTTGTTGTTGTTGTTTTGAGGTCTCAGGTATGATTTGGTCTTAGATTTTCCCCCAGTTCTTCTGTGAGAGTAAAAGCCCTTAGTAGCTTGTCAGTGGGTTTTTGGGATTCCACCAACTCTAAATGTGTTTGTGGACCTTTCCCACTTCCTGAATTATGCAGTGCAAGTGACTTCAGTCTTACCTTGGTGGAAAAGGCTGCTCTTGTAGCTTCAGAAATAGGTATGATCCACTGGGCCTGGACAGTCCACCTTCTACCTTATTTGGCAGAAGAATATTGTATGGAAAATCTTTGAAGTTTCTCCATATATAATAAAGCAAATTTGGGCTCTCTCTTCCCAGTGTGGGAGCATGATTTGTAAGGTCAAAGAGCCGTCCCACCCCTGCTTTTCAAAATCACTTTCTGTGTAGTGTGGTTTTTCTGCTGCCTTCTTTTCTTGGCTGTATTTCACAGCTAGACTGCTTTATGCAAAAAAAAAAAAAAAAAAAAAAAACCAAATTCCACCACTTGTGCAGGATGTTGTGGGGAGCTACTCCAAATGCATGCACCTTTAAGTCCTGATGCACCACAGGGATCTGAATGATTACTGTAGTCTGGCATGGTAGCACCATGGCTCATGACTGGGTCTTATTGTGGGCTGAATTGTAGAAGATAAGTGAATTAGAAGAAAAATCTGTAACATTATACTTTTAATATTTGGGAATATTTTGCCTTTAGAAAGAGAAAAAAATAATTTTTTACAATTCTGGAGACTCTAAATAAATATAAAGAATTATTAAGATGACTAATGGGATATGTTGTTAAGTTCAGTCTTCTCCCATGGGAAAAGTGCCTCTGTGGACTTTTTTGAATTGTTTTTATGAATCTTTATATTGTAAAATATTAGGTAAAGTTTTTTGTTGTTTTTTTTTTTTTGGGGGGGGGGTTATGAACTAGAAGTCTGTGCTTGGATAGTGAGAAAAAGGAAAGAAGGAATTTGTTATGAGACTTCATACAAGGATTCTTTACCTGTAGAGAAGTGAATTTTATTTTTCTATTGTTTTTGTGAATACTCAGAAAGTTTATGCTGGACCTCTTTGCTACATTCTTGATCTACCATATCAGAATTGCCACTATTCTATAATGGGGTCTGTAACTAGACCTACCACCAGCAGTGCTTTTAACCCTTAAACTACCTGATCTAGGTGCCAAATGATAGTAACACTGATAGTAGCAAATCTGATAGTAACACTGGCATCTGCTGTTAAAACACACATTTTAAAGTCCCACATGGTGCAAGGGAAAATACAAAAGACAGAAGAACATCAGCTAAAAGCAAGCACAGGGAGCAGAGATAAGGCAAGCTGCCTCCCACCCTAGGATCCTCCCCAGCTGCAGAAAATACAAACAAATCAAATGGAATGCAAGTGGCTAGGGAAGCTCAGAGAGCCTTTGCCCCAGACAATGAGCAGCTGGTCCCTGCTGTTTCCATCACCAAGGTAACAACAGGAAGCCTGGAAGGCCCAACCTGATTTCCTGGTCCTGCCTCCTGAATTTTCCCGGCTTCCCATTGGTCCTTTCACTGTCACTCAGAAAGGACTTCTGGTCCCACTTTCCAGCCACTAATCTGTACTTCCTGTTTTATCCCTGCTACCAGGAGCTGCATTTTTAAAAATATCCACCTAAAAATACTAATGAAAGATCTTTTTCAGGCAAAATTTAACTCCACAGGCTTCTACATTGCATCGCTGAGCCTAACTTTTTCAAAGTTTCTAAGGTAACTTACCAATTTTTTTCTTTATAGCTGTATTATTAAAAAAATTGCAGAGATGATGTAACAATTATAAGAACTACATAAGCTTCTTTATATTTTGCTTTTAATTTTGAAGGTTATGAGGAGGCATTTGCTTCTCACAGGAACAGAAGCCAGCAATGTTCCTGTGATAATCAAAGACCTCATTCTCTTGTATATAAATACAAGATGTAAGTAAATATACAGAAGGATCTTAATATGTTACAGCAGAAATATAAAACAACGCACTACTAACCCAACAAAAATCAAAATGTATCCAAATATCATAAGAACCATGTGGATGCATAAAGTTAATACAATTATAATTTATGCCCTTATTCTTAATACATATTTTTCTAGGGATTTGGATAACCTATAGTTGTTAATTCATTAAATAATTAGCATATATGTCTAATTGTTTAATTAGTACATATTTATCTAATTGTTTTTCTTCAACAGAAAACACATAATTTATATAGTACTTATACATGCATTTCTCTGATGCTCTGCCTTTTAGTTACAGGTATTTGAGATAAATGTAGTTTACTATAAGTTTGCTTTCAGGAGATAATACAACCATCAAGTAATCTCTCTCAAATATTTGTACAAACTCTATAAGGTAATAAACAAATATAATTAATTCTGTCTACAGAATAATACAATGGTTTTAACTATATTTTCATTGAGATATTTCTTCTTATCAAGGTACAATAATCTGTTAGATTCTAAGGTTTTCAACTATTGTTCCAAAGAAAAACCAGGAAGAATTCTAAAAGAAAAAGAAGATACTTCAACAGAGAGGAAGCACACATTGGGGGTCCTAAGAGGAAGAAATGAATCATCCCTTTGGGTAAAACAAGGTCTTTGTATTCTGGATTTTAATGATAAAAGTATTTTCCTAAAAAAGAAAATCTGTATATCATTATGTAGACAGATGATATAGAAAGTTAAAACAATTGAAAAAGAGATTTATATGTACTGGACTGTCTATAAAAATTTTAACTTACTCAAGAGTATTTCAGGCTTTTTTTTTGATTTTACTATGCTGATGTGAGCTAAGATTTTGTCCATATTTTGACACAACAAAGACCTACTAAAATGTTAAGTGTATTTTCTTTAAGGAAGGTTTTTATTGCCTAATGATTCTTATTGTTACAGCAAGGATTAATTTTAATAAATAAATTCACATCCTTGATTAAACACTAAATATATTAAAGTACTGACTTAGATTCTAAATTTGACAATTATCCTTTGAGACTAAATTTTATTGATTCAAAGACACTGCTGAAATTTACAAATTACTTTTTTTTTTTTTTGCTAGATAGCTGTGATTTGGGAGAACATTGATCTTCTCCAAATTAAAGTCATACATTGCTTTTGAGCAATAAAGGTTGCAAACTTTTTTGGAAATTCATTGGTATTATATAGTTCTTTGATTGGACCTGTTATTTTAAAAAATTGTAAGATTTACATAATACTCCCTACACTGGGAAGTAAGCTTAATCATATTTTCTCAAAGACAATTCAGAGACACCTATTTAAGGATGATATTCTGAGATATAGAGATATTTTGGAAACTTCTCTCAAGAAGAGATTAAGGGCTCCCTATAATTTAAATTACTAATATTATGATTTATAACAACCTTTTAAATAAAGAAAAGGGGAAAAACAGGACCCCACAAGCACACACTAGATCTTTCAAATATTTTTAAAATTTTTTCTTAAATTGTAATATTAAGACTTTTATTGTTACTCAACATAATTCAGTAAATTAAATCAGATTTCAAAGGGGAGTTGAAACCTCTCATCATGAAAATGACTGAAAAGCCTGAAATAGTAAGGTAAATCTCCAAACTGTAGAATTTAGAGCCATGCAGTTTCATGAGCTTATCAGGAAAGTAAAAATTATGAAGAGATTTTTATGGACCCATTTCTCAGGTCCACCTTTACTGTGCCTTGAAGTGTGGAGTGGAAAGTCCACCCATGAACTAGATTAATTGTACTGACTGTAATATTCAATTACTCATATATGTTCATCTTATGGTAAACAGACTGTCTGGGAGTATCTTTTGAGAAAAAGACAGCATGTAAGAAACGTAAACCAGCCAATCATGCTGGGCCTTAAAAGTTAAGACTATATTTACTTTTCTGGATAATTGTCAGAAAGATTGTTAAAATATATATATTTTTTCTATACAGGCCAGTTATTTACATAAGATATCCACCAACATATTATTCTCCTACTCATTCTACAATGGGAGTTGACACCTTTCCTAAGTGGATAGATTGTGCAAATGTGTTGCCAGTGTGACAGAAGATATCTAGAAATAATGGATATATTTTACACTGGTCTCCCAGAATAGACAAAGCTGATTATGCAAGGATGCCACACACCTGGAAGTTTACTGGTAATAACCTAACCCTCAGTGAGTTGGCACCCAAAAGGATGTTTAGATGTTTGACTTCTACCTTCAAAATATTTACATTACTGACAGACCTAAAAACCTCATTAAATGTGAGACTTAACTGAAAGGATGATGAATATCCTGCAGCCTATAAAAATACAACTTATCTTATTGTATCACTAGTTATTGCCAGCTAATATTTCAGAGGTATAATATGCTGAAGTTAACATTCAGGCTTTGAAACAGGTGCATGTCAATTAACCAGACCTAGGCAAGCTCCTGATCTTATGATCCTTGAAGTGACTACATTAAATATCATTCCCTGCTTCTATAATTATAGTCTTTATGGCAATGTTTTAAACTTACAACATTTGAATTTTCTTAAAAATTGACTTAAGTTACTTCCAAGATCCTTCATAGTCATATAAGTTCTGATGGAAGAATTGGAACTAAGTTAAAATGCTCTAGAAGACAATATACTGAATAATGCAAATGAGCCTTCTGCTCTATGGTTTGTGGATAGGTTTAAATGCCATGCCAATTAAACATATCTGTGTTACTATGGCCAAATGCAATGCTTCCCAATAGAATTGAGAAAAAATTAAAAATCTTCTGATGAGTGTTTGTCAGAGTAATGATAATAACCTTGGATCTTGCAAGTTGACTACATTATTGAAATGATATGTTTTCTACTAATTCCTTTTGTGTTTCAATAGTAGATTATGATGACCTCAAACCAAGAATCCAGTGACTAAAAATGTAATACCCCAATTGCCTATAAATATTAAGAAAGAGGGAATTTGTGGGTAGCCACTCCAAATTTAGGCATCTTTAGTCCTGATGAACCATGGGGGTCTGAAAGATTGCTGTAGTCTCATGCAGCAGTGCCATGACTGGTTCTCCATCTTTTCCCATGGTTGGATAATAAGGTGTGGTCCTGGGAGTAGCCCTAGGAGTAGGTGCAACCCAGAAGAATTGAGTGTGGGGAGCCACTCTGAATGATCTGCTCCTTCCATCCTGGAGGGGAGATGCTTTGACTGGCACTACATATTATAGTGACCTGGAAATTGTCCTGGTCCCGGAAGTTTGAGGGTATGTCTTAAGACATAGGCATGTCACCCCATGGCCCTTTGGGTTGAATTACACTCACATGTCCTTTGTAACCCTGCCACCTCTGAACTTTTTTTGATGGAACTTTCTAAGAATGAGGGTCCCCCAATAAAAGCCCATTCCTGAGTATGCTCATTCTCTCTCACCAGCCTCTCTTGACTTTCACTTGCTCTCCCATTTGGGGAGCCTGAGGCAGACAGCAGGGAAACCATCCTGAAGCTTGGTTAAAGGTAAAGTGTGTGTCTGTGTTTTCTTTGGTGTCCCTGGAAATTCACATGAAGGACCTTAGGTTCAGCTGCCCACATGGGCACCAGTTGAGTTACACTCGCCTGTTCCCTTGTAATCCTACACCTTGCCTAATTTGAATGGCTTCTTCCCAATGAAAAGGTTCAGTAAGTGCTTCTCTCTCTCTTTCAACAGACCCCAAGGTTGCAGGATCCATCTTAAAATCCAAAGAAAAAGGTATTTCTCTGCCTCTGTTTGGTTAGTTTGTGCAGCCCATTTCACCTGGAGTGACCTTGAGTGTTTAGTTGTGTGACTCCACAGGACATGGGTCTATGAAAGAAACAAAGACATGAGTGCTGATATGAGATTAATACAAGATAAATGTTTCATCATCTGGAACATGTCAATGAATATCATGAAGATGATAGAAATCAATAATCTCTCACCAGGAGGTGTCAGAGCTGAGAAGTTGTCTTCATAATAAGGCCTAAAAGGCCAGAGAGGACAAAGCTAAATTTGGGAATGTAAATCTTTAACCAGGTCAGAATTATCAAGAATGTTAAGCTACTTAATGCCATCTGATTTTTGTAAAATATCTTTTTATTGGAATGATCTGTGTTTTAATTTTAAGTGTATTTCTTAGGTATTCAAGATCAAGCTGTTTAAAGTGACCTTGTTTTTACCTATCATTAAGAGTCAGCTGAGTTGTCTTGGGGTGTCTGTTGGGTAACTAATGAGCAGCTGTTTAGCTCTGCTAATGCCATCCACCTAGATAAGTCAAGGTCTCACTGACCATGTGGCTTCCGTTGGAAATACCAAAAATATTTCTCTTTTCCAATGACTCTCCTTTTTCACAGTATGTATCCTGATTGGATTTCTTTTTTTAAGGTCCACCGGCAGACAGCAGGGAAACCATCCTGAAGCTTGACCCAGATTTGCAAAGCTCTTAGAGAAGTTCCCTTGTTCCCTGGGTTCAAGCTGACTCAGAGGGCAAGAGCTAAATATTGGGTTTCTTGCCCCCAACCCCACCTTTTTAACCTTAATCTTTAAGCCTTGATCTTAAATATCCAGCAATCCCATCTTAAATTAAGAGTACTGGGCTTTAACTTTAATATTTATAACTTTACAGTCATCTTTACCCCTTTTATTTAATTGAGGTCTCTATTAGTTCTGGAAGTTAGCATTATATACTATCTGTCTATAGATAATGGCCTTATATTTCAAATTAATTTAGGTTGTTATATTTGAAATTGTACTTTTGTAAGGCAGTAACATATAGCTATTAAAGTTTAAAAGAAAAAGTTAAAATGAAATTAACAAGAGTAAAAACTCTTGAAATTATCAAGAGTAAAAAAAAAATAATTTGTACATAATCTTAAACCTTAGCTGAGTTATACATTATATCCTATGTTTGAGACCACAGTAATCTTTAAAATAAAATATCAATCTTTTGAATAAAATTTGAAGTGAGATGAGTCTGGCCTAACTGATCATGTTAGTTAACACAATATGACATTATCTAAAACAAGAATTTAAAAAAGGCTAAGAGAGGTTTAACTTTCTTTTTTGGAAAAAGTGGCAAAACATTTATATGTTTTACAAGAATAATCTTTAAGTAGATCAGTCCCTCATTATCTTTTAGAAATACATTTACATTTTTATCCCAGTGTAATAAGTAAAATAAGGTTTAGATTTGGTTACAGAACATTAAATGATATAAATAAATTTGTTATCCTTATAAGTCTAAAATTACCATTAGAGACAACTTTAGTTTGGAGACCACTAGCTTGATGAAATGTTCTTTCAAAACTTTAAACTGTCAGGGTTGTGGCTCAGCAGGAAAGCACTCACCTAGCATGTGTGATGGAGGCCCTGGGTTCGACTCAGCACCACATATAAATAAAATAAACATATAAAAAATAAAATAAAAATTTTACTTTAAAGTCTTCTATACCTGAAATATATGAACACATTTACTATACAAAGAAGTATAACAGTGCCATAATTACATTGATGTTTACATATTAATAAAGTTTTGCTTTTAAAGAAAAATCTAGACTCTGTAATATAGTACAATACTCTAAAATAACAATATAAACCCTGATTTTTAACACTAACTGCTCTAGACAGTAAAACTTAACAGTTAAGAGTAAACTAATATTTGAAGAAATCCTTGTCATTTCAACATATATAGTAAACTTTGGTTTATATCAGTACATTAATAATTGACTTTAGGGAAAAACCTTGAGTAGATTTAACTGATTGTGTTACTTATGTATAACTGACTTAACTGCACACAAACCTTTTAAAATTTACCCTTCATTTGTATAGACATTTTTATCAATTATATTCATTCATTCTCTCTCTCTCTCTCTCTCTCTCTCTCTCTCTCTCTCTCTCTCTCTCTCTCATTTAGATGTATTACAACTTTACTACATAAAGACTCTCTTACCCAGTGGAAGGTTTTTGCTTAGCACCTGGATGACCATCTTAAGCATCAACTGCCATCTTAAGAAAAAGTTTTGCTTTCCTGCCCAATGGTAACTGACCATTTTTTTGTTATTCAGCCAACATTATCCTTTGTTCTCTAATAATGTCCAAATTAGTGAAGTACACAAACACCTAATTCTTTGTTTTTATAGCCAGTTTATTAGCTTCCAACAACAGAAGGGCCATGGCGGCAAGGACCCATAAGCAAGGTGGCCAGCCTTGGGCTACATACAGAGTCCAGCTGTTTAGATAGATAGGCCACTGGATGTGCCATGTTCCCAGCATTTCAGTAAACCCCCTACAGCTATTTCATACCATTTATGGACATAGAGGAAGAAAAGCTTTGTGAGGTCAGGGAGTCCTAGTCCAGGTGCATTGGTGAGTGCTTCTTTAGTGTCCTCAAAGTCCTTTTGTTTTGTTGGTCCCTCCAAAGAGCAGATCCTGTTCTCTCCCTTTTTGGGCCTTCATAGAGGAGTTTTGCCATAACTGAATACTTGGGTATCTATACACAGCAGAATTAAGTGGCACCAAAGATCTCTGATTTGACAGTAGGTTGAAGGAACTGGAATTGATCAGGTGACCTGTTCCTCTTGTAGCCCAGTTGCTACTGTTTTTGAGTTGGACAGAAACCAAGGTTCTTTACTTTTCTTGACAGATCTGGGCTTTCTTTTGTGAAACTTTGTAACCAGCCTTACATAGGAGAGTGAGTAGCAGCTGTGTTCCTCTTTTGCCATCTTCTCTGGTTGCTCCAGCCAGGAACAGATCATCTACATATTGAAACAATGTGCATCCACATTGTTTTTCAGGAAAGGCTTTTAAGTCAGAATCCAGCACCATCCCAAAAATGGTTGGTGACTTTTTAAAACCTTGTGGTAATCTAGTCCAGGTCAATTGGCCCTTGTTCCCATTGGAGTCTTCTCATTGGAAGGCAAATGGTGGCTGACTCTGTGGTACAAGTTGTGTGCAGAAGAAGGCATCTTTAAGGTCCAGACATGTGAAATAGCCTGCCTCAGCTGGGGGCAGATTTAGGAGATTATGTGGATTGGGGACCACAGAATGTAAGCTGACTGTGGCTTGATTTTTTGCATGTAAATGTTGGACTGGCCAATAATGATCAATTTCTGGTTTTTGGACAGGCAAAAGAGGTGTAATTCATGGTAATGGGTGAGTTCTGACAATTCCACATTGAAAAAGTGTGTTCAAATGTTTTTGAATTCCAAGTTTTGCCTTATAAGGAATGTGATGTTGTCTTAGGTGACTCATATGGCTTCATGTTCAAATTTCATCACCACTGGGAGAAAGTTTTGGGCTAGTCCAGGTGGGCTGGCCTCTGTCCATACTCCTTATATTTGGAAAGGGATTTGTGGGTCCTGTTATGATGTTTCTACTAGGCTGAAGAGGTGCCATTCCTCTTCTCAGGGAATTGTGAGGGTTAAAATATTTGCTTCAGGTTTTCTCAATGATACCAGTGACTGGCCTTTTGCATCAACAGTTATCTGGGCTTGGAGTTCTCCTACTAGATCTCAACCTATTAATTGAACTGGGCAATCTGGCATGTATAGAAATTTGTGGACTACTTTATGGCCTGCTGAATTTCAATGCTGTTGTAACAGGAAAGGATGATCTGTTTTGCTTCCTGGGGCCCCCACAATTGTGGTTTCTTTCTTTGAAAGTTGGCTCACAACCAAATGGTGAGCCCCAGCATCCACCATATAGTCCATAGGTTTGTCCCCTATAAGCATTTGAATCATAGGCTTCTGGGGTCCCAAAACAATGGAGCCAGTCAGTCTTCATCCTCATCATAATTTTCCATGGCGTCCAGGTCCCACAAAAATTTTTCTCATGGGCATCATAGTAGTATCTGTGGCATTGAGCATCATGGGGGACACATTCTTAGGACTGGTATCCACCTTGAATGACTTGGCCTCTCTTATCCTGGTAAGGAGTAGCAGGAACTCAGTTGGCTTTCTTCAATGTGGGGCATTCATTTTTCTAGTGGCCCTCTAGATGGCACTGGGTGAATTGGTTTAGTTTCAGCCTAGTCTCTGGGTGAGGAAGTTGATCCAGACCATCCTTCTGCCCTGCATCTGGTTCTTATTCTAATATTTGTTTTGGCTTTGTCCTGGTGGGAACCCCTTTTGGGTGACTTCTGAGTCTGTAGTAAAGGTAGCTGCAAGGAGAAATCATCTTCTTCATCTTTTAGTCTGCTTCTTGCTGGGTCTCTTAGTCTTGATTGACAAACACTGTGGTGGCCACTTCAAACAGCTCACTGGCATTCTTTCTAGCAAAACCCTCTAGTGTTTTGTAATTTGGGTGACTGTCACTCTGTGCCTGTCCCACAAAGCTTGCATTGACCACCTGCTGGTTGTCTGGTGCCTCTGGACCAAAGAGAGTAGAGTCAGAAGCTTCACAAAGTTGTTCATAGAACTGGCTGGGGCTTTCATCAGGATTTTAGAATACTTTTGATACCTTGTTCATGTTTAGGGCTCATCTTCTTCTTTTAGGCCTCCTATGAGGAGTTCTTGATATCTCTTTTTCTTTTGAAGGTCTTCATCTTTGCTAGGCTCCCACCCTGAAACTGTGTTGGGAAACTGGGCCTGGGCATGGGCTTGATGTTGCCTTGTGCATCTGGTGCATGTTCTTCTAGCCATTTTAAAGTGCTCGGGTCACCCATTTGCTCTCCTCTGTATTGATAGAGTAAGACATAGCTGGCAGCAGTTCCCCCAGTGTTTTAGTCAAGTATTTTGCTGCTTGACTAAAGGATCTGACCAGAACAATTTTAAGGGAGAAAAAGTTTATTTGAAGGGTCACAGTTTCAGATGTCTTAGTCCATAGAAGGTGACTCCATTGCTTGGGGCTCCAGTTGAGGCAGGATGTCATGGCAGAAGAATGTGGTAGAGGGAAACAGCTCACATGTTTATCAGGAAGGGGGGGGGGAGAGAGAGAGAGAGAGAGAGAGAGAGAGAGACTCACTCCACTTTCCTGATACAAATATATATCTAAAGCCACACCTCAATTTCCACCTTCTCCAGCCACACCCTACCACTTTATTATAACTCAGTTAATGCGTATTAGGAGATTAAATAATTAGTTGTGTCAAGACTCTTACAACCCAATTATTTCTCCTCTGAACCTTATTGCATTGTCTAACATGTGAGCTTTTGTGGAATACCTCATATCCAAACCTTAACAAGCAGGTAGGTCAGTGGGCCTGGATAATGGATTGTATCATATGAATCATGGTCTGAGATTTCTGTGTGTAGGAGGTAGTATGATTTTTCCAATTTCAGAGATCTTTGGAGGTAAAAGCCTGATACTTGGAAATATATTGGGCCCCTCAGATGATTTCTTTCTGGTCAACATAGGCAGGTCCTCAAGTCTCTCACAGGGGCATTTGAAGAGTTCTCAGCTGGGTTGTGGCTCTGGTCTTAGGATGGGTTTCCATCTTGATCTTGCAAGTTGGAGGAGGAATCTTTGGCCCTTGCAAAGCCTCTGGTCTTGAGGACCTCATAGGGGAAGGAGTAACTGGTTTTGAAGAGCCTTAATCAGCTGTTTCTGGGGATTTGGGGGCTGAGGTGACTGTCCATTGTTTCAGTGATCTTGGAAATGTTGGATAGATTGGACATAAGGTGGTGGGTTCTCTTCTGCCTCACCAGATAAAACTGGTTCTTTTTCTGCCTTTTCTTTGTCATATTTTCTCTTCTTAGTTTCCTTTTTTGGGTCTTAGAGGCTGCTACCATCTGAGATAAACTCAATTTTGATTGTCCACCTAGACAGGCTCAACCCCTGGGGTGTTTCTAGACTATCTCTTGCCAGCAGTCAAGGAAACTATTCTGAGTGTCCAGGGGTTCCAACAACTATTAAAAAGACCTCAGCAATGATACTTTAATTAAAGATCCTTCTGGTGGCCATCCCACACCAAAGCTTGGCCATTCTAATTCACAGAGAGAACACAACTTTGCTGAGTAAATTTCTGGGGGTAAACTGGCAGTCTTCCCCTTAGCCCATCAGCTGGTAAATCCGGAGTGCCAGGTGGTGAAAAAAGGTTTCATCTCCTGCTTAAGATACACCCAGTGATTTATTGCAATCTCGCCATAATAATGGTCAGAGCAAAATTTCAAAACCCTCAAATTACACAAACAAAAAGGGAGTGACAGTTTCCCTTATGCTTGCTGACCCCAAACAGAGACTAATTAAGTGACTCCTTGGATCCTTTTTGGCTCCACCTCCTTTTGGAGGTTATTCAGGACTATCAGGTGTTGAACAATCCTCTGTTCCCCCAACTAAGTCCTCTTGGGGGAGGTCAGATTGGCTACCACTGAGGGACCAGGACCTACCTTTTTGGTCAGGTGGTGCTTCTCATTTCCTATTTCTGGTTCCTGTTCCTCGTGAATTCTCTTGTGCTTCAGGGTGGAAGTTCTGAGATGTCAGGTGAGTTGTTCCTCCTTCAGCCAAAGAGCTGCCTCTGTGGTATGCTAAGGGGAAACAATGTCCTCCAACATCTCAAAAAGCCAGACTTCAGAGATAAGAGAGGCAACTTCACCATTACCATCCCATTTCGATTGCCGAATGTTGCAGGACAGATGAGGCTGAACACCTGCAGAATTAGCATAAAGCAGGTTTATTGGCTACAGCCAGTTCAGAGTGTGGCTATATCCTAAAATTTCCTCCTCTGAACCATGAGTCTAGAAATTCTTTGAACTTTATACCCACTGGGAGGAGGGATTTAGATTTCCACTTTTGCTGGAGTCTACCTAAAAGTATCTTTTTTGTTTGAATTAATTCATAGAGAGTGCTTTTGTTTTACTTTTTTTTTTTTTTTTTTTTACTTTTGGTTTTAATTTAGTCAGAGGTTATATGCTTTACCACAGAAGCAGAAGTAACATCATAAAGTCTGTTGCCAAACTTAGCTTTTACAAGACAAAGTAATCAGAAAAATGAAGTCTAATCACATTTGGGCTTTTTTGCAGGAATTTTTCCTGATATTCTGTTAATAAGAACACATATGTTGAAGGTACCTGGAGAAGCTTAATTAAGGTTCATTGGTAGAGGAGGGGGCACCACTACACTCTGGGACTTCACAGGGTTTCAATAGGTCTTATTGATTTTTCCTGGTGCCCATGGAATTTCAGAGCCAGAGTCTTCTTTGTCTTCAGGATCTTTTACATGTTCTCCATGAGGCTCAGTGCTGTTCTCAGAGTGTCAGTTTTGCCCAGTGTTTCTTCCACCCTCAGAGCAAGACTCTGAATCTTCCCAAAGGAATCACTGGGTTCAGGATCTTTGGGGTTTTTCAATAAATCCCAGGGCCTTGCCCAGGGCCTCTGTGGAGCTAAGTTTCATTCCTGGCATCACAGTCATGCTTAGCATCTTCCCCAGAGTTTGTCTGTGTGTCAGGTCCTTCCCAAGAGTCTTAGTGGGGTCTAAGGCCTACCCTACTGATTCAGTGGCTTAAAGAACTCTGCACACTCTCTAGTGGTACTTAGATTCTTCCACAGTATCCTGGGTAAAGAATTGCCTTCACCAGTGTCTCAGTGGGGAATAATTCCTTGCCCAGTGTGCCATTGAAACTCAGGGAGATTTCCATCATCATTGTGGTGCTTAGGACCTTTTGCAGTGTCAGTGGCTCTCAGGGTCACTACATGTTTCTTAGTATAAGCTCAAGGCTTTCTCCAGAGCCTCAGTGTGGCTCAGTGGTTACCCCAATGGCTTACAGGGGCTCAGGGAATCTTTCAGGTTTGTTTTCTTTCCCCCTAGAGCTTCTGTGAGGCTAAAGTTTTCCAACAGCTTTCAGTGGCGTTTGAGGCCTTCTCTAGCGTCTAAGTGGGGTGGTTTTAGTCAGCTTTTTTTGCTGGTTTATTGTAAGAACTTAAATAGAATAACTTTGGAGAAGGAAAAGTTTATTTGAGGTCTCACAGTTTGAGATGTCTTAGTGCATAGAAGACTGGCTCCATTTCTCAGGGCTTGGGGTGAAGAAGGAAATCATGATGGAAGAGTGTGGCAGAGTAAAGCAGCTCACATGATGAACATGCAGAAGAGAGAGGGAACTCCACTCACAAGATTCAATATCTATACTCCAAAGTGATGCCCCCATGTCCCACCCCTTCCAGTCACACCCTACCAGCCTTCAGTTACCACTCAGATAATCCCTATCAGGGAATGTATTTACTAACTTAGGACACATCATTTCTCCTCTGAGCCTTCTTGCATTGTCTCACACATGATCTTTTGAAGGATACCCCACATCCTAACCATAACATTCCACACTTGGCCCAGAAGCTCACAACCATCTCACAATGCAAAGTACATTTTGTCCATTCTCAAGAGTCTCCATGGTCACAACTGTTCCAAGACTGCTCAAAGTTCAAGTCCAAAGTCTTCTCTGAGGTACAATCAATCTTTCATTGGGAGTTCCTATAAAATTAAAAGCAATTTACAATTACCCAATATATAATGGGTACAGAGTAAGCATTTTTATTCACAAAATTTGGTGCACAGAAAAAAGGCATAGGACCAAAGCAAGACTAAAATCCAGCTGGTCAAACAGGTCCTATAGTTTTGTGTCAGCATGTGGAACACATGATGTTCTCTCCAAAGGTCTTGTGTATCATTGCCCCCGTTGCCTTGTTGGTGTAGACCAAGGGGCCATTTTGTTGACTGGTCTCTGCTCAATGCCTGCAGTGTTCCAAGGATAATGTCTCATGTTACTGACATTTCTTAATGCAACTTCAGTTTTCTCTTCACATCTCCAGACTTTGACTTCTCAGGTGCCTGCAGGAACTCTAATCCTGTGTTACTTTATCTGGCTTCCTAGGCCTTCTTTTGAAATCTTGGTAGAACCCGTCATAAGTTCCTCACTCCAGTATCCTACAGAACCAGAACAACATGACTGGCACCAAGGTCTGCCACCATGTTGAGCCAAGCCTCCAGGATCCTGGCTGCAGCAGCCTCTGAGTGTTTGAGCAGCTGAGCCTGTTTTTTAAATTAATTCCCTGTTAGAGATTAACTGAGTGGTAACTGAAGGCTGCTAGGGTGTGACTTGAAGAGGTGAGACATTGGGGCAAGGCTTTGAGGTATATATTTTATATCTTCTGAGTGCAGTTCCCTCTCTCTCCCCCCTGTTCATCGTGTGAGCTGCTTCACTCTGCCACACTCTTCCACCATGATTTCCTAAACTTTCTAGGCCCCATTGTGTAAGAAAGATGCCTCACTGGTCTCTTCTTAAGAAAATTCTCACCTTTACTCCCAGGAACTTGAGATAGGTGTGGTCTTGCCATATTTTGAGATGCCTTCAAGCCATCTTTCTTATTGTCTCTGGTCAAATCTTTAGCATATTTGTAGTGGTAGTAATGACTTTAACAACTGAAACTTTATTAACCCTAATTTTGTGGCCTGTCAAGTTCACTTTTTCCAAATCTTATGCTATGTGTTCTGCTTCTGAATATTACAATAAATTTGGTTAAAAGGTGCCAGCTGTGTCTATGCCATTGCCTGAATTCTATGCCACCTAGAGATTTCCTCCACCACATAAAGAAGCCAATCACTTCTGGGGCTAGGATTGTGGCTCAGTGGTTGAACACTCATCTGGCATGTGTGAGGCACTTGGTTTGATCCTCAGCACCACATATCAAATAAATAAATAAAAATAATGGTACTGTGTCCATCTACAACTAAGAGAGAAAAAAATAACCTGACAGTCCCTTCTAAAATCAGCCCCACTGAATGTCTCAGAACCTAGGCAAAATGCAGACACCTCAGCCAGAACATAACAGGAATCACTACTAATTCAAATTGACTTCTACCCTTTATTTCTGAACCTTCTTAAGCCTGGTCTTCACTGACAATTGTCCTATTGCCATTCTGGTCTTCTTAGCTCCAATCAGAATCAGCCATCAATCTCTGCTTACAACAATCTAAAGCATTTTCATCTAGCATTGCTACACATCTCAAAATTCTCCCAAAGAGCTCAACATGCTTATTAAACATGTGGTCACTTAGTCACCAAAATTACCCCACTTTTTGGTATCAATATCTGTTTTATTCAGCTTTTTCACTACTTTGACAAAAATAACCCCACACCAGAACAGTTGTAGGGGAGGAAAAGTTTATTTGAGGGCTCATGGTTTCAGAGGTCTTAGTTCATAGAAGGCTGGCTCCATATCTCAGGGCTTGAGGCAAGGCAGGACATCATGGTGAAAGAGTGTGGCAGAAGAAAGAAACTCACCTGACCAACATAAAGCAGAAGACAATCCTCCATTTAAGAGGGTTCAGAAATAAGCCATGCCCCAAAATTGCTAACTCCTCCAGCCACACCTTAATGACCTTCAGTGACCACTAGTTAATCCAATTCAGAGGACTGAATCACTGATTATGTTAAGGGTCTTAAGACACAATCATTTCTCTTTTGAACCTTCTAACATAGTCTTATATGTGAAGATTTGGAGTACAACTCACATCAAAACTATAACAAGGGAGAGGGAACTGTGACCACGCACAGAGCAGGCCCAGCGGCCTGCTGAGGGGCAGAGCCACCCCCCACCCCCCGCGCCTGCCAGGTGACCACCGACAGAAAAGGCCCAGTGGCCCGCGGTGGGACAGAGCTTCCAATCACTCCTGCAAGGTAGGCAGGCCTGCGACCCACCGGCAGAAGAGGAGCAGCGGCCTGCTGAGAGGCTGAGCCGCCCCCTCCCCCTGTGCCGGCAAAGTAGAGGGAACTGTGACCATGCACAGAGCAGGCCCAGCGGCCTGCTGAGGGGCAGAGCCGCCCCACACCCCCCGCGCCTGCCAGGTAGGGGAACTGTGACCACTGACAGAAAAGGCCCAGTGGCCCGCAGAGTGGCAGAGCTTCCAATCACTCCTGCAAGGTAGGCGGGCCTGCGACCCACCAGCAGAAGAGGAGCAGCGGCCTGCTGAGAGGCAGAGCCGCCCCCTCCCCCTGCGCCGGCAAGGTAGAGGGAACTGTGACCACGCACAGAGCAGGCCCAGCGGCCTGCTGAGGGGCAGAGCCGCCCCCCACCCCCCGCGCCTGCCAGGTAGGTGGAACTGTGACCACCATCAGAACAGGCCAGACCTGCAACCGAGAGACAGAACAGGCCCAGTGGCCTGAGGAAGGGTAGAGCCGCCCCCCCCCCCGCGCCTGCAAAGTAGGCGGACCTGCGACCCACTGGCAGTACAGCCCCAGAGGCCTGCAGAGGGGCAGTGCCGCTGCCTGCACCTGCAAAGTAGACAGAACTGTGACCACCGACAGAACAAGCCTAGCGGCCCGCAGAGGGACAGAGCGCCGCCCGCGCCTGCGAGGGAGACTTTGCAACTATACAAGACCAATATAAATATATAGGGGGAAAATTCAATAGCACAACAGTTTCACCAAGTAGAAAGGAACGCGAACAGTATTAAGAGACAAGGAAAGAAAGAACCACAAGCATTGCAGGTCAACTCAACGTTAGAAGAGGTAATAGCTGCAGCAGATGGAATGTCAGATAAAGAATTCAGGATATACATGCTTCAGATGATCTGGAGTCTCAAGGAAGACATCAGACAGCAAAATCAGACAATGAAAGGTCACTTCAACAATGAATTACATAAACAAATCCAAGAAGCAAAAGATCAACTATACAGGGAAATAGAGGTTATAAAAAACAAACAAACAGAAATCCTAGAAATGCAGGAAGCAATAAGCCAACTTAGAAACTCAATTGAGAATACTACCAGCAGAGTAGAACACTTAGAAGACAGAACATCAGACAATGAAGATAAAGTATTTCAACTTGAAAAGAACATAGACAGCTCAGCAAGACTGTTAAGAAACCATGAGCAGAACATCCAAGAAATATGGGATAACATCAAGAGACCAAATTTAAGAGTCATTGGGATACAGGAAGGGACAGAGTTTCAAACCAAAGGAATGAGCAATCTATTCAATGAAATAATACGAGAAAACTTCCCAGACTTGAAGAATGAGACAGAACCCCAAATCCTAGAAGCCTACAGGATGCCGAATGTGCAAAATCATAAGAGACCCACACCTAGACACATTATAATGAAGATGCCCAACATACAGAATAAGGAGAGAATTTTAAAAGCTATAAGAGAAAGGAAGCAGATCACATTTAGGGGTAAGCCAATCAGGATAACAGCTGATCTTTCAACACAGACTCTGAAAGCTAGAAGATCCTGGAATAACATATTTCAAACACTGAAAGAAAATGGGTTCCAACCAAGAATTGTGTTTCCAGCGAAATTAAGCTTCAGGATGGAAGATGAAATTAAAACCTTCCATGATAAACAAAAGTTAAAAGAATTTGCAGCTAGAAAACCATCTCTTCAAAACATCCTTGGCAAAACATTACAGGAAGAGGAAATGGAAAATAACAATGAAAACCAACAGTGGGAGGTAGGACACTAAAGGGGGGAAAATAATCAAAGAGGAAAACAAACCATGTTTAGTAACATAAATAAACAAATATGGCTGGAAGAACAACCCATATCTCAATAATAACCCTAAATGTTAATGGCTTAAACTCACCAATCAAGAGACACAGGCTAGTAGAATGGATCACAAAACAAGACCCAACAATATGCTGCCTACAGGAGACACATTTGATAGGAAAAGACATACATAGGCCGAAGGTGAAAGGTTGGGAAAAATCATATCACTCATATGGACTTTGGAAACAAGCAGGAGTGTCCATACTCATATCAAATAAAATAGATTTCAAGCCAAAGTTAATCAAAAGGGATAAAGAGGGACACTACATACTGCTCAAGGGAACCATACACCAACAAGACATAACAATCATAAATATATATGCCCCAAACAATGGTGCAGCTATGTTCATCAAACAAACTCTTCTCAAGTTCAAGAGTCTAATAGACCAACATACAATAATCATGGGAGACTTCAACACACCTCTATCACCACTGGACAGATCTTCCAAACAAAAGTTGAATAAGGAAACTATAGAACTCAATAACACAATTAATAACCTAGACTTAATTGACATATATAGAATATACCACCCAACATCAAGCAGTTACACTTTTTTCTCAGCAGCACATGGATCCTTCTCAAAAATAGATCATATATTATGTCACAGGGCAACTCTTAGACAATATAAAGGAGTAGAGATAATACCATGCATCCTATCTGATCATAATGGAATGGAACTGAAAATCAACGATAAAAGAAGGAAGGGAAAAGAATACATCACTTGGAGAATGAACAATAGGTTACTGAATGATCAATGGGTTATAGAAGACATCAAGGAAGAAATTAAAAAATTCTTAGAGATTAATGAAAACACAGACACAACATATCGGAATCTATGGGACACATTGAAAGCAGTTCTAAGAGGAAAATTCATTGCTTGGAGTTCATTCCTTAAAAAAAGAAAAAACCAACAAATAAATGATCTCATACTTCATCTCAAAATCCTAGAAAAAGAAGAGCAAAACAACAGCAAAAGAAGTAGAAGGCAAGAAATAATTAAAATCAGAGCTGAAATTAATGAAATCGAAACAAAAGAAACAATTGAAAAAATTGACAAAACTAAAAGTTGGTTCTTTGAAAAAATAAACAAAATCGACAGACCCTTAGCCATGCTAGCGAAGAGAAGAAGAGAGAGAACTCAAATTACTAACATACGGGATGAAAGAGGCAATATCACAACAGACACTTCAGAAATACAGAAGATAATCAAAAATTATTTTGAATCCTTATACTCCAATAAATTAGAAGATAGTGAAGGCATAGATAAATTTCTTAAGTCATATGATCTGCCCAGATTGAGTCAGGAGGATATAGACAACCTAAACAGACCAATATCAATTGAGGAAATAGAAGAAACCATCAAAAGACTACCAACTAAGAAAAGCCCAGGACCGGATGGGTATACAGCAGAGTTTTACAAAACCTTTAAAGAGGAACTAATACCAATACTTTTCAAGCTACTTCGGGAAATAGAAAAAGAGGGAGAACTTCCAAATTCATTCTACTAGGCCAACATCACCCTGATACCTAAACCAGACAAAGACACTTCAAAGAAAGAAAACTACAGACCAATATCTCTAATGAACCTAGATGCAAAAATCCTCAATAAAATTCTGGCCACTCGGATACAAAAACTTATCAAAAAAATTGTGCACCATGATCAAGTAGGATTCATCCCTGGGATGCAAGGCTGGTTCAATATACGGAAATCAATAAATGTTATTCACCACATCAATAGACTTAAAAATAAGAATCATATGATCATCTCGATAGATGTGGAAAAAGCATTTGACAAAGTACAGCATCCCTTTATGTTCAAAACTCTAGAAAAACTAGGGATAACAGGAACATACCTCAATATTGTAAAAGCAATCTATGCTAAGCCTCAGGCTAGCATCATTCTGAATGGAGAAAAATTGAAGGCATTCCCTCTAAAATCTGGAACAAGACAGGGATGCCCTCTCTCACCACTTCTGTTC